TTCACCACGCGGTGTGTTAGAGCCACTGGGTTCACCACGCGGTGCGTTAGACCCACTGGGTTCACCACGCGGGGCGTTGGAGTCACTGGGTTCACCACGCGGGGCGTTAGAGTCACTGGGTTCACCACGCGGTGCGTTAGAGTCACTGGGTTCACCACGCGGTGTGTTAGAGCCACTGGGTTCACCACGCGGGGCGTTAGAGCCACTGGGTTCACCACGCGGGGCGTTGGAGTCACTGGGTTCACCACGCGGGGCGTTAGAGTCACTGGGTTCACCACGCGGTGCGTTAGAGTCACTGGGTTCACCACACAGTGCGTTAGAGCCACTGGGTTCACCACGCGGTGTGTTAGAGCCACTGGGTTCACCACGCGGTGTGTTAGAGCCACTGGGTTCACCACGCGGTGCGTTAGACCCACTGGGTTCACCACGCGGTGCGTTAGAGCCACTGGGTTCACCACGCGGTGCGTTAGAGCCACTGGGTTCACCACGAGGTGCGTTAGAGTCACTGGGTTCACCACACAGTGCGTTAGAGCCACACTGGGTTCACCACGCGGGGCGTTAGAGCCACTGGGTTCACCACGCGGGGCGTTAGAGCCACTGGGTTCACCACGCGGGGCGTTAGAGCCACTGGGTTCACCACGCGGGGCGTTAGAGTCACTGGGTTCACCACGCGGTGTGTTAGACCCACTGGGTTCACCACGCGGTGTGTTAGACCCACTGGGTTCACCACGCGGTGCGTTAGAGTCACTGGGTTCACCACGCGGTGCGTTAGAGCCACTGGGTTCACCACGCGGTGCGTTAGAGCCAATGAGGGTTCACCACGAGGTGCGTTAGAGCCACCGGGTTCACCACGCGGTGCGTTAGAGTCACTGGGTTCACCACGCGGTGTGTTAGAGTCACTGGGTTCACCACGCGGTGTGTTAGAGTCACTGGGTTCCGAGTGCAGTGCGTTAACTCCCGGTTAAGAGTCTACGAATTATAAATGAAACTTCACAGCAGCATCAGTCATTTAAATTAACTATTAGAATCTTTAAAAAGCATGTAATCTCCACCCTGAAGGATTACACGTTACAATGTTGGCAAACATCCCCATGGCCGCTGGCATTGATCGGCGCTACATATACGTTACCCTCATGTCTCCTTGCTAACCACTTATTTAGTGAAAGCATAAATCAGTGAAAACATAAATGCAGTTAGTCATATGCTTGTTAAGAACACTGTCACATCCACTCATTGTTAGTGATATTGCATATGTACAAAGAGCATGTGTGTGTGCATATGTATTTGTATTTCGTAGTTACACTTGATATTAATGTTGTTCAGACCAAGAAATCCGTAAGGATAAATCACGATCGATCCATCCATCCCTTGGTGCCCCGGCTCTGTGGTGAAATGAGGACACTACGGGTTTGACCGTGATAAACACGCCGTTAAATGTAATGCCCCACGCGCTGAAAATAATAATGTCCAGCTCTCAACAAACCCCTGGCCAGCACTAATCATTAAAATAGCTTCAGGCGGGGCGGGACTTTTTGGTAGTAGCTGATAATAAAATCCACAACCGTTTGTCAACGCCTCCGCGTGTCGGCCATGGGGGTTGTTTGACCATACTTCACCACGCAGGCCGGTAAAGGTCGGGTGGGTTGGGATTGGGTGCGTCGCAAAGGCCGATTCTGACATCGCTCACTACTGAACGTCAGCCGTGGCCGGGGATTGAAATCAGTTTGCCGGGCTCCCAGGGCAATGCGCTCCTCCCTGCCTTTCAGGATCTCTCTAAAATAACGGTAATGGTTTGGCGTGGTGATGGCTGATAAGGGAAGAGTGAAGGCCAGGTGGTGTCTTTGTGTTGAACTCAACAAAGAAACTTCACCGGAAGGGTCAACTTCCAACGATAATAACAACACGGCGACAATAACCCTGGCTGCCTGCCCTCCTCTCTGTCCTTGGTGGTGCATTTATTTCTTTGTTATTTTATCTTCTCTCTCTGTCTGTGAATTCTTTCGTTGCGAGTGCTAGGAGCATACAGCGCACCACTGCACATACAACAAGCGCCGCACGGCGTGAATATTGATCATCTCCCAACAGTGGGGCACAAGTGGCAACTCGGCGGTGAGATGTTAACTACCTCGCCTGGGTTCGATCCCGACCCTGACGCCCGTTGTATATTTGAACCTTATGGCGGGACCCCGGGGACCCGAATAAACGGAAGTCAAAATCGTAATAAATTTTGATTTATTTTTGGCGACTCCGTCCCACCGCGCACATCAACGCCGCGACCCGCCTGGCGTGGATCGTTGTGTTCGTGTCGTCCAAGCGCAGCGGCGGGGACGAATGCGCAGAAGAAACAAAACTTTTAAACTTTGATTAGCGCATCGTGTAGAGCTCGTCGAGAGGAATAGACTGCCGTGTCACGTTCGCCTTCAACAGACATTCATTTGGAGTTTGCACATCTCTCTCTCTCTCCCCGTGGTCGCGTGGACTTTTATCAGAGTCCTCCGGTTTTTCCCTCCACATTTAGAATCAACATCACGCGTTCATAGTATTTGGCTGATGCTATACGTTTCGTCATCATGATAAGCCACATCGCTGAGCTAGCATTTGTGGCCAGGTCGCTTTTGAAAAAGAGCTAAATAGCTCAGTAGGGCCTTACCTGGTCAAATAACAAAACTAGTTTAGTTTAGGACAGAGCCGGGCCTCAACCGAGATCTCTGCTGTTCCTTTCATTTGACTGCTTCACAGCCCAGGGCCCCGTAGCTGACGAATATCGGTGATTCGTCAAGCATCGGCGTCGCACGCATCTCCATTCACAGCCTAAAGTCGGTGTTCGAAATTCCGCATTCCTATGGCCATGGGGGGGAGGGATCGAGTCAGTCCTGAGGGTGACCACTGTTTGGATGTTCACATATACGCCAGGTCAGTGTCATCAGCACGCAGCCAGTTTGGCTCGGCCGGAATCGCAGGTTTGATTCTTCATGGGGATTTACCAAAGTGGGGCATTGTACCGTAGTATTGGAAAACGGTCGCCACTAAATTGTCAAATACACGACCGCTTCCGCCAAGTGGGCCATCGCGAGGTTTAATAACGTGCGCCCATTTCAGCCGACGTACTTGCAGCTGGATTATTGCCACGGAGGTGTTTGCAATCGGTGCGAGCCCATTCACAAAGTCCTCCGTGCACGCGCCGCTTGGGGCTGAAGATGTCCGCGGCGTATGAAACACCCCGAGTGCCAGGGGCTCCGTTCAGCCCACGGCAGAAGCCAAAGCACAAGGCCCGTTGCCATTATACCAGAACCGAGGAGCAGCATCCATCAGACAGTCCACCTGTCTGTCCCATTCGATCCTTGCCTCACGCCCTGCTTTATTATTAACAATATAGAACGACTTGCGGGGTGTAGGGTGTGATGGTTGGGGAGGGGACATCTAAATATTTGAGTTTGCCGTAATTGCAACAATCTATTTATGAACACGACATCAAGGATCTTAATTCTAGATTTGATACATGATACAGCTAATTTTGCTGTGTCTGTTCCACCTGAAGACGAAAGCTTGTGTTGCCTCCGAAACGTCGTGATTTAATTTAGTTGTTTTCACGTATTTTATTTTACCTACGTGACTTTACCGAAAAAAAAATATCTTATATCGCAGCCTATTGCAGTCCCATGCAATATCTACCAGGAAGGACAGCCGGCTTGGATAATGGGAAAGAATGAGAGATGCCGTGCAATTGGCTTGTGCCCAGCAGCGGGGGGGAGGGAGAGGAATTGAAGTGTAATCTGGTTTAGCAGTGCAGAGGGGCAATCATTCATCCTCCAACTGCAGCTTGTGCCCCCGATATAGTGCATGTGTGGAGGTGCTGGCACGCCAATTTGGACACGTACGCTAGCAGGCTCCGAGAATATAAAGTGGTTTAAGGCGCCGGCACGGGACTTCACTAACTGATTTTTTAAACTAAATATTTGATTTCACTTGCTTGGCTGAGTTAGGTGCAGCTCCTAATTTCGCCAAACCAGCACGCTATTTTTTGCATAGTTTTACAATAATTGTGATATTTAGTTTTTTTATATATATTGCGTCGTTCATGAGGAATGCATTGCAAAATCGCAGAAAAGGTGCAAGGCAGCCTTGGCGGTGAGCCATTAACCAACAATTACCCAAGCGCTGCAGTCCGCTATGTATTACTTTTTATTTCCCCCCAGCCAATTAATGAGTGTTTATAGACGTTGGTGGAATCCGGAGCACAACAAAGAAAACCCATTTGTGCGAGGGGATAACACTCGATCCCATGCAGAAAGGACAGGTAATATTAATCCTCACTTTGCTGTATCGCACTCTCCTGGCAAGCCAGGGTATGGCTCCTTGATGCCCACGTGAAGGGAGTATCACAGCCCATCTTTGTGTGATCTACCAACCCTCGCTGCTGTGCCTGGCCAGATCTGCCATGGGGCATGCAGATTCGATGCGATGAGGACGAGCGTTCTTCTTTCGTTGGTTGGGATTAAATCCCGGAGTTTTCTTTCCTTGGGATCGGCACTCAGGCGCTCGCCGGTGACGTCGGTGTTTGCACCCAAACTTGTCGCTGTTTACCTGCCCGGGTCCACACGCAGGGGCCCTCTCTGGCTGTGCTCCGGAATGATCGCACCGCACGTGTGTGTACGTGTGTGTACGTTTGTGTATGTTTGTGGGGAGCGGGAGTGTACTGGTTAGCGCACTACGCTAAAAAGCTCGCTACCCGAGTTCGATTCTCGCTCACGGCCAACACCAGTGACGATTATCTGACCCGGTCCTGGGCCTCCCCTAGGTTGATTCAGCCTCAAATCAGTACCTGATGCGGAGTGTAAACATCGTCACTCGGGAGACACAGTCGGCCGGGCGTGGTGTTGGCCACCCACCCCCTCGTGTGCCACAGTGCCGGCCTTTATAGAGTGCTCGCTAACATCACTCGCCCCAACAGTCAGTGTAGGCTAAACGGGGCGATCTTTGTCTACTTGTCTGGCACGAAGGAGCGGCGCTTCCCGCAGTTTGTCCAAAAGGAGATGGAGAGCATGTACATCGAGGAGCTGAAGGCGGCCGTCAACCTGCTCATGGCCAACCTGGAGAGCATGCCCGTGGCCAAGGGCGGCTCCGACTTCAAGCTGCAGAAGCTGCGGCGCTCGCAGAACTCCTCCTTCATCGACATGGGCGAGGAGAACGAGAACCAGCTGTCCAAGTCCGACGTGGTGCTCGCCTTCAGCCTGGAGGTGCGTGGGGCACCGGCCGGTGGGGGGGGGGTGCAAGCCAAGATGCCCGTCCAGAGAGACGGCACCAGCTCTGCACTGATGATGGGCTGAGCTCGCCTGCCTCTCTCTCTCTCTGCACGGTCGAATGGCCCAGTCACACTTGTAGAGCTGGGATATTCCATCAGACTAATCGGATGGGGCAGGGGGGGCGCCACGCACGCCTGGCCACCTTTGTCTCCCCCGTGCTGCTGATCTTGACCAAAGCTACGCGGTTGCACTTTGTCACCTGCGACACGGCCGGTTAACTGCACGCTTTGCCTGTATCCCTCGGCAACGCGCCGAACTCGTTAACCTTGTGCCCGCGCGTTGGTCGAGAAGAGCGGAAATATTCGGGGTCCCTGTGGTTAAGCTCCTCCAATCCTAGCGTCGCTCCTGCGACCGCGTTCGTCCGTCCTGCCCGGCGCTCTCGCGTGCACGCTCACCGAGGGCCGATCGTTCCGCGCTCGCGCAGATCGTGATCATGGAGGTGATGGGACTCAAGTCGCTGGCTCCCAACCGCATCGTCTACTGCACCATGGAGGTGGAGGGAGGAGAGAAGCTGCAGACGGACCAGGCAGAGGCCTCCAAGCCACAGTGAGCAGCCATGAGCCTGTCCTCCACATGCGTCTAACCATGTGTCTGTCCATGCGTCTGGCTCTCTGTCTGTCTTGGCATCTGTCTCTCCCTTCGCCTCCTATTTCCCACTTTCCATTTGTTTGTTCAGTGTGCTTCATCCTTTCGTTTGTCCGTCCTTGTTGCTGTCCAGTTATCTTTTTGCTTATATCTGTCAAATCAGCGGTCCCCAACCTTTTTGGCACCAGGGACCGGTTTCGTGGAAGACAATGTTTACACGGACGGGGGGGGGGTTCATCATTGGGTCTTTCCCCCTTTTCAAAGAAGCTCTCCAGCGACGTTTGTTTTTTACACATTGTGGCTACTAGGGGTTAGAGCTTGTGGGCTTACTCACTGTGGCTACTAGGGGTTAGAGCTTGTGGGCTTACTCATTGTGGCTACTAGGGGTTAGAGCCTGTGGGCTTACTCCTTGTGGCTACTAGGGGTTAGAGCTTGTGGGCTTACTCATTGTGGCTACTAGGGGTTAGAGCTTGTGGGCTTACTCATTGTGGCTACTAGGGGTTAGAGCTTGTGGGCTTACTCATTGTGGCTACTAGGGGTTAGAGCTTGTGGGCTTACTCATTGTGGCTACTAGGGGTTAGAGCTTGTGGGCTTACTCATTGTGGCTACTAGGGGTTAGAGCTTGTGGGCTTACTCATTGTGGCTACTAGGGGTTAGAGCTTGTGGGCTTACTCATTGTGGCTACTAGGGGTTAGAGCTTGTGGGCTTACTCATTGTGGCTACTAGGGGTTAGAGCTTGTGGGCATACTCATTGTGGCTACTAGGGGTTAGAGCTTGTGGGCTTACTCATTGTGGCTACTAGGGGTTAGAGCTTGTGGGCTTACTCATTGTGGCTACTAGGGGTTAGAGCTTGTGGGCTTACTCATTGTGGCTACTAGGGGTTAGAGCTTGTGGGCTTACTCATTGTGGCTACTAGGGGTTAGAGCTTGTGGGCTTACTCATTGTGGCTACTAGGGGTTAGAGCTTGTGGGCTTACTCATTGTGGCTACTAGGGGTTAGAGCTTGTGGGCTTACTCATTGTGGCTACTAGGGGTTAGAGCTTGTGGGCTTACTCATTGTGGCTACTAGGGGTTAGAGCTTGTGGGCTTACCAACACTGTAACTGAGACAAGTGCGCAGTGCGGGAAAGAGGTGCGGACGGAAGTGGTGAATAATAACAGAATGGGGCGGGCCACGTGCGGACTCACCGCTCTCACCTCCTGCTGCTGTGCGGCCCAGACCACCGACCGGTTATCGGTCCGTGGCCCTGGGGTTGGGGACCCTGTGTCAGATCATTCCATTGTCTTTTTCACTCATCTCGATTCTTGTCTATAATCACGTCTGTCTGTCTGTCCACATGTCTGTCTGCCACTTTGTCTTTCTGCCCATGTATCAGTCTGTCTCTTGAACCGTCTGTTGAATCGTGATTAGTCCAAGTCTTTTGTTCATCCAATTGCGTGACAGTTTGTTTATCCATTGGTCTGACTGAATGTTAGTCCATCTGTATATCCAATATGCCTGTTCGTTCGTGTCTTGTCTGCCTGTCAATGTGTAGGCGTTGTTGAAGACTGTGGGGCTACGTGGTGGGCAGTAGAGGCCAGGGCAGCGCGATCTCTTGTTGCGCTGTACTTGTGCTCCTTGCCTTCCCCGAGCCGTACTAACCAGGGCGCTCAAACGACCCCCCATGCAAGACTGGCATAGCAGTGGACTGACAAGAGGGCTGGACGTGTTCATGGGCATGTCGAGCAGTAACGCTGCGTGAAGACGGATTTAACAAAGCGTGACCCGCGTGCAGCCCAGCAGAGCCGCTAAAGAAAACCACGCAAGACTCAATAAAAGCGCACGAACGTGCAATAACCCCACGTGACCAGTGGGGGGCGATGTTAACATCCACTGGTCGCTGGAAAAGCCACAGACGGTGCTTTTTGTGTTTAGGTCGTGGTCACACATCCTGATAGAGTGTCGGTCAAACCTGCCATTAATTATCTTGCGCAAAGTAAAACATTTTTGCTACATGTGTATTTTAAAAAATATTGTAATATATTGTGATGCACATTACGTTAATGTAGCTTAGGTCAACCCTCGCAGCAGTTAAGTTGTACGAAGGTTAGTCTAATGCACAGTCGTGGCATATTGTGGGCAATAAACTAATAAAATAATAGGCAAGGTTCTGTTTTAACTGTGTTAATGTAAAATAACATTCAAGGGCTGTTATCCTGACAGGTTATACAAATATAGCTCAGTGTTTCCCAGCATCTTTTGTTTAAGCAGGCATACCACTTTGTGAAAGGTCAACAGCAGTTGTCCTATGAACAGGCTGGTCCCCTACCATGGGATTGTAGAAATTCCACCATTGACCAAGGGTTGCCAACAGACGTTGTGTGCTGCAACGTCCTCCCGCTCAACGCTCGCTTGTCTTGCCCGATTTCTGGCAGATGGGGCACGCAGGGAGACTTCACGACCACGCATCCCCTGCCGGCCGTAAAAATCAAGCTCTTCACAGAGAGCACGGGTGTCCTGGCCCTGGAGGACAAGGAACTGGGCAAGGTGAGCGATTCTGTCCACAACACGAACTTGAACGGCCACCTTTGAGTGAATGCGTTGCTGGGCGAAGGTTCGCTCCCCACACTCGGTCGGTCACGGGAGTTGCTCTTGTTCACCGTTGCTTCGTCACGCTGGACAGCGCGGGTTGGTGGAGTGCCAACTCTCGGAAAGTTCAGACACCGCCCGCCCGCCCGCCCGCCCGCATCAGTGGCGAGCGATAGCTGGTGTCGTGCGCTGACAACTGCGCCACCGCTCCCCGTGTAAAAGGTAAAGGTGCGGCCCCGCAAGTGCCAACCGCTGGCTCGCGTCACAGCTGGCGGAAGAGCCTCCACTAGAGGAGGGCTCTGGAGAGCCCCTCCAGAGGTTACTTTGGCTTCACTTCGCCACGCCACGCCACGTGCGACCTGCCGATTGGCTCACTGCCGCACCCACGCCCACTGCTGCGTGGACCGACAACGGCGTCTGGATCGTAGGCCCGGTGCGCGCTCACCGTTTACACGGCCCACTGTGGCAGCGTGACGCTCACGCCGTCTTCCGTGTTCGCTCTACTCTTTGGTTCTTTCGCTAAAAGTCCACGTAGAAAGAGAAAATAATAAATTAAATATTAGCATGCGACGTTTCGATTGCAACGCAAAGCAATCATCATCAGGTACAAATGAAAGACGAATGAAAGAGAAAATAAACCTAGCGAAACTTAGAAATATAATGCAATACAACCCAGATGGTCGGCTAACATAACAGTCAACACCCTCCCTGGTTGATTACGTTCTTCCAAAGATTGCTAAATTTAAGAGAAAGATAACACACAGAACCGTCTGTCCATGTATTTTCCTTCTACGTGACTTTACCTAAAGAACCAAGACGATTAATTTAATCAATTACAATATTGATTTATTCTTGGGAAATCTGATGAGCTATGAAGCTCTGTTTCACAGATGTCCAGTAGGGGCATGGGGTCAGAAAGTTACAACAACAAAGAATACAAAAATACTACAGGAGCACGTCACGCGACAAGTTAAATTGTCGCTTTATGTACAAGCATTGAATGTGCCAATTATCACCATCTCAGCTCACCGGTAAGTCGAAGAAACAATTTTCGCAAGCCAAACTGTCCAGGAAGTCGGAATCACGACAATGGCTGCGAATATCTTAGCATGACATCTTAGCGTGACATCTTAGCGTGAATATGTCACGTGACATCTTCACGTGACATCTTCACGTGACATCTTAGCGTGACATCTTAGCGTGACATCTTAGCGTGACATCTTAGCGTGACATCTTCACGTGACATCTTAGTGTGACATCTTAGCGTGACATCTTAGCATGACATCTTAGTGTGACATCTTCACGTGACGTCTTAGCGTGACATCTTCACGTGACATCTTCACATGACATCTTAGCGTGACATCTTAGCGTGACATCTTCACGTGACATCTTAGCGTGACATCTTAGTGTGACATCTTCACGTGACATCTTAGTATGACATCTTACCGTGACATCTTCACGTGACATCTTAACGTGACATCTTCACGTGACATCTTAGTGTGAGATCTTAGCGTGACATCTTCACGTGACATATTAGCGTGACATCTTCACGTGACATCTTAGCGTGACATCTTAGCGTGACATCTTAACGTGACATCTTCACGTGACATCTTAGTGTGAGATCTTAGCGTGACATCTTCACGTGACATATTAGCGTGACATCTTCACGTGACATCTTAGCGTGACATCTTAGCGTGACATCTTAGCGTGACATCTTAGCGTGACATCTTAGCGTGACATCTTCACGTGACATCTTCACGTGACATCTTAGCGTGACATCTTAGTGTGACATCTTCACGTGACATCTTCACGTGACGTCTTCACGTGACATCTTAGCGTGACATCTTCACGTGACATCTTCACGTGACATCTTCACGTGACATCTTATCGTGGCATCTTAGCGTGACATCTTAGCGTGACATCTTAGCGTGACATCTTCACGTGACATCTTCACGTGACATCTTCACGTGACATCTTCACGTGACATCTTAGCGTGACATCTTAGTGTGACATCTTCACGTGACGTCTTAGCGTGACATCTTCACATGACATCTTCACGTAACATCTTAGTGTGACATCTTCACGTGACATCTTCACGTGACATCTTCACGTGACATCTTAGCATGGCATCTTCACGTGACATCTTCACGTGACATCTTAGTGTGACATCTTAGCGTGACATCTTCACGTGACATCTTCACGTGACATCTTAGCGTGACATCTTCACGTGACATCTTAGCGTGACATCTTCACGTGACGTCTTGACGTGAAGATGTCACGTGAAGATGTCACGTGACATCTTCACGTGACATCTTCACGCGACATCTTAGCGTGACATCTTAGCGTGACGTCTTAGCGTGACATCTTCACGTGACATCTTCACGTAACATCTTCACGTGACATCTTCACGTGACATCTTAGCGTGACGTCTTAGCGTGACATCTTAGCGTGACATCTTCACGTGACATCTTCACGTGACATCTTCACGTGACATCTTCACGTGACATCTTAGCGTGACATCGTCACGTGACATCTTCACTTGACGTTTTAGCGTGACATCTTCACGTGACATCTTCACGTGACATCTTAGTGTGACATCTTCACGTGACATCTTCACGTGACATCTTCACGTGACATCTTAGCATGACATCTTCACGTGACATCTTCACGTGACATCTTAGCGTGACATCTTCACGTGACATCTTAGCGTGACATCTTCACGTGACGTCTTGACGTGAAGATGTCACGTGAAGATGTCACGTGACATCTTCACGTGACATCTTCACGTGACATCTTAGCATGACATCTTCACGTGACATCTTCACGTGACATCTTCACGTGACATCTTAGCGTGACATCTTAGCGTGACATCTTCACGTGACATCTTCACGTGACATCTTCACGTGACATCTTAGCGTGACATCTTAGCGTGATATCTTCACGTGACATCTTCACGTGACGTCTTAGCGTGACATCTTCACGTGACATCTTCACGTGACATTTTAGTGTGACATCTTCACGTGACATCTTCACGTGACATCTTAGCGTGATATCTTCACGTGACATCTTCACGTGACGTCTTAGCGTGACATCTTCACGTGACGTCTTCACGTGACATTTTAGTGTGACATCTTCACGTGACATCTTACATGACATCTTAGCGTGACATCTTCACGTGACATCTTAGTGTGACATCTTCACGTGACGTCTTCACGTGGCATCTTCACCTGACATCTTCACGTGACATCTTAGCGTGACATCTTAGTGTGACATCTTCACGTGACATCTTCACGTGACATCTTCACGTGACATCTTAGTGTGATGTCTTAGCGTGACGTCTTAGCGTGACATCTTCACGTGACATCTTAGCGTGACATCTTCGCGTGACATCTTCACGTGACATCTTCACGTGACATCTTCACGTGACATCTTCACGTGACATCTTAGCGTGACAACTTCACGTGACATCTTCACGTGACATCTTCACGTGACATTTTAGCGTGACATCTTCACGTGACGTCTTGACGTGAAGATGTCACGTGAAGTGTCACGTGACATCTTCACGTGACATCTTAGCATGACATCTTCACGTGACATCTTCACGTGACATCTTCACGCGACATCTTAGCGTGACATCTTAGCGTGACGTCTTAGCGTGACATCTTCACGTGACATCTTCACGTAACATCTTCACGTGACATCTTCACGTGACATCTTAGCGTGACGTCTTAGCGTGACATCTTAGCGTGACATCTTCACGTGACATCTTCACGTGACATCTCCACGTGACATCTTCACGTGACATCTTAGTGTGACATCTTCACGTGACACCTTCACGTGACATCTTCACGTGACGTCTTAGCGTGACATCTTCACGTGACGTCTTGACGTGAAGATGTCACGTGAAGATGTCACGTGACATCTTCACGTGACGTCTTAGCGTGACGTCTTAGCGTGACATCTTCACGTGACATCTTCACGTGACATCTCCACGTGACATCTTCACGTGACATCTTAGTGTGACATCTTCACGTGACACCTTCACGTGACATCTTCACGTGACGTCTTAGCGTGACATCTTCACGTGACGTCTTGACGTGAAGATGTCACGTGAAGATGTCACGTGACATCTTCACGTGACGTCTTAGCGTGACGTCTTAGCGTGACATCTTCACGTGACATCTTCACGTGACGTCTTGACGTGACATCTTCACGTGACATCTTCACATGACATCTTCACGTGACCGCTTTGTTTTTCTGTTTCAGGTCATCCTGCACCCAACCCCGACGAGCACCAAGTCGGCCGAATTCCACAAGATGGTCGTGCCCAAGAACAGCTCAGACCAGGACCTGAAGATCAAACTTGCTGTGCGCATGGACAAGCCCCAGAACCTCAAGCACTGTGGGTCAGTCTGAGCACCTTTGTTGTGGTTGCATGTTGCTTGTGCTGCCTACAACTAAAATGACTGCCATCAAATCACCCAGGAATTCTTCCCATCTCATCCAACAGCACTTGCCACTACAGTCTGTTAAGGCTATATGGGGGGGAATTTTTGTCTGTCTTTGATTGTGCACGTCTGCTGTGCCAGCGTTAGTAGGTGCTCTCTAACGTAAATGCCCCATCGGTATCTATGGCGAAATGGGGATATTTGCGTTGTGTGCATATGTGCATCAATATCATGAAGTAGGTTAAATATTAAAGCTTCATATTGTGTTAAGTCCTTTAATGGAAGGTACAAATAAGGTAGTTCTGGCCAGCTAATGACAATTCAGGGAACTAAGCCAGCACTGCTGGGAACCTGAGTGCCTATCCAGGTGTCAGCCAGCTGTACATACAACGCGTTCCCAATAGATTGCTGGATGAAGGCCTCCCCTTGTCGTGCTGATCATAGAGGTTGTTCGACCATACTTCACCAAACTTGTCAGTGTGTAGGTTGGTGAAAGGGGGAGTTCAGGCCCAGTTCAGATATCACTCGTGTGACAGCTGTGCAAGGGATCGAACTTGGAACGCCGGGTTCGTAGCACCGTGCACCAACCACAGCAGCACCACTTCCCGTGACATGTATCTTACCTTGCTGAAAATAAACTTAAAGTATTGTTGACACCTTGTCATATATATCGCTACAGAAAACTCAACCGCCGTTCGTCGTAACCCTCGGCTGGCCACGGAATGACAGATTATATTATTCACACGCCTGCCCCAGGGCTGAAATCCTGTGATATGGAGGCGCTGGCAAAATGTTCTTGCATTATTATTATTATTCTATCGAGGCACGAGGAGTTTAAATTGACAAAGACAGCTCGACTACTTTTGAGACAAAAACAAATTTGAACACGTATACGCTCTTACACGAATGCGCTGAAAATCGCTCCAGCAGTTCCCCGAGCGCCAGGGGGCCCGCTTCGACTCGAGTTTGTTTTGACGCTTCAGCCACAAATGGCTGTAACAGTCTCGCGAATCGGGGCCCCGCATGCATCGTGTACGGGCGAAGTAAATTGCGAAGCAAATGTCGTGGCTTTACTCGAAGTGGTTGCCAACTTTTACAGCGGCCTACAAGTACTACTTTTTTTTTTTAGACTGCATAAAACGAGCGAATATTTCTACGAACAATTGACCGCCCGCACAATTTACCGCCCGCGCAAACTTAACTTTTTTTCCACGGGGGTGGCCATCAAGTGAAATGAAAAGTTCACGCGGGCGAGGTCTTTACACCTGGGTGCGTCTCTGACAGCTGGGGAACGAGCGGAGGCCCGGGCCGCTAAATTGGGCCCGACACGCGAGATTGCCTCTCGCCGGCGGTGCGCGCCGAGCGGCGGTGACAACGTTTGCCGAGAGCGATCAGTGGATACGCCAACCATCTCCCCCCCCCCCCACCCCGACCCTCTCTCTAACTCGCCCGTGGGCAAAGACCCGACTCGTTCGCGCATGACGAAGGGCGGCCGTGCGGCCGTGCGGCCCGCAGCTCCCAGCCCCGGCGTCTCGTCTCCCCCCGTAGCCGGGTCGCCTCCCGCCGCTCCTCTACCCGCTTGTCGGGAGCAGCCGGTCCACAGCTGATGCCACAGCCACTACCACCACAACCACCCCCAGCCCCAGCCCCCACTTGTGCCGTTGAGGGTAATGCGTTGTGAAGACTTGTCTTAAGTGTTAAGGTATGCCGCACGAGCCAGAGGAGGGTTCAGTAGCTGAGGTGTCCGTCCCGTCTGCTTGCTAATGGATGCGAAAGAGCCAAAGGTGTTGTTTTGCAGGATAGGCTGTCACCTTGTTGATGGAATATACTTGTAAATATATCTATATTATATTTATATATAATTTATATATATATATTATATATCTATATTTACAGGTATATTTATATTTACAGGGATGGTGATGGCTTGGGGATGGTGATGGCTTGGGGAAGCCTTCATCCACCAGTGGAAATATCATAGATGGTGCTGATGATGATAATATATTTTTAGGATCAACTATGCCCATGTTAGGTCATGCATCACAAGGAATAATTTGTATATTTAGCTTCGGTTTTTATTAAAGGACATTGGGAGAGTTTGTGGTACCTGGCAAGGTGGCTCTGTGGCAGAGATCGGCCCACAACCAGAAGGTTCCGAGTTCAACGCCTGGTTGTCCTGTGGATAGACTTGCCCCTGCCGTATGAATGTAACATTTTCACCACTTGTCTCCAGGCTCACAATGGATATGAGTGTTGCCAAAAGTCTAATTTGATCAGAGACACTGTGACTTTGCTTAACTAAGCGAGTGATTATGGATACATAGTGCAATCACTTGTCCATAAATATGATCACTAATTTGTACAAAGATGACAGGTGGGTAGCTGGCACAATTGTAATTTCATGTAAGAACATCGAGCTCCCTCTGCTGTAACATCGGGCAACCCAGCAGCAATTGTGAACAGGCCAAACTCTGCTGATGAGACCCAAAACGTCGATAACGGTCCAGAGTTTGACTGCTTAAGCACATGCTTCTGACAAAACACTCCGATTATCACGGTTGGCTACGTACGGTGCGAAGGAAGTTCAACGTACATGCATAATATCCAAGGTCCTCTGGCTATATGACTAAAATGTTATGTAATTATTACTTGGAACAACGCTCGTGTCCGTTTAGTAACTGGAACTCGCGTCTCTCAATCGTCCGTGCTGTGTCGAGTCCTGATTCATGTCCAGGCTAAAGACCTCCCTCTTTTCCTCTGTGTATGACTGACCTGCCTCTCTCACGCTGCAGTAATAGGTGACGTTTCATGCAATTTCACTTCTTTATAGAGGGTAAGAGAGATGGAGTGGACAGTAAGGGTTGCAGACAGCACTCTATCAAACTAAAAATTCAACACGATAAATATGCTCCCACTGTTTGGACGAAGCCTCTTGAGATGCGATCACATTTATACGCCGCAAAAACCCAATTGGCAGTTGCGCTCATTATGCACGAAGGTAGTTTGAACATTGCTGTGATACAGTTTGTTTTGCGTGGATTCTTTTTACAGGCAGACATATCAACATCGCACGTGCTGCTGTGTGTATCTGTGGGCGTACGGGGTAAAAGGTTCCTTTTCGAGCGGATGAATGTTTCTGCTGGTCATGACAGATCCGTCACCGCCGCTGTGCAAGCGGTGTGCTCTGTGGTGACGGGATAGCTTGTGAAAGTGCCCTCTGGGTGTGATTCTGTGTTTGAAAAATAATCTGACTGGTGTCATGGACCATGTTGCCTTGACAAATGCCCAATATTAGTCAACTACGCACACACGCATGTGTCTGTGTATCGTAATGGATAAACACAGTGCAAAGGTCGACTATGCCAGGTGTGGGCAACCTGCAGCCTGCGGGCCGCATGCATCCCGTGGAACCCCTGGTGGTGGCCCGCTGGCCTCATGCATCCCACGGAGCCCCTGGTGGTGACCCGCTGGCCTCATGCGTCCCGCGGAGCCCCTGGTGGTGGCCCGCTGGCCTCATGCGTCCCGTGGAGCCCCTGGTGGTGGCCCGCTGGCCTCATGCATCCCACGGAGCCCCTGGTGGTGGCCCGCTGGCCTCATGCATCCCGTGAAGCCCCTGGTGGTGGCCCGCTGGCCTCATGCATCCCGCGGAGCCCCTGGTGGTGGCCCGCTGGCCTCATGCATCCCGTGAAGCCCCTGGTGGTGGCCCGCTGGCCTCATGCATCCCGCGGAGCCCCTGGTGGTGGCCCGCTGGCCTCATGCGTCCCGTGGAGGCCCTGGTGGTGACCCGCTGGCCTCATGCGTCCCGTGGAGCCCCTGGTGGTGGCCCGCTGGCCTCATGCATCCCACGGAGCCCCTGGTGGTGGCCCGCTGGCCTCATGCATCCCGTGAAGCCCCTGGTGGTGGCCCGCTGGCCTCATGCATCCCGCGGAGCCCCTGGTGGTGGCCCGCTGGCCTCATGCGTCCCGTGGAGGCCCTGGTGGTGGCCCGCTGGCCTCATGCGTCCCGTGGAGGCCCTGGTGGTGGCCCGCTGGCCTCATGCGTCCCGTGGAGCCCCTGGTGGTGGCCCGCTGGCTTAATGCGTCCCGCGGAGCCCCTGGTTGTGGCCTGGTCTCAGTGTCTCTAGGGCAGGGGTGGCCAACCTGTCACAGAGCAATATCCAAAAAGTACCCCTGAGTTCTGCAAAGAGCCAAGTGTATATATAAGTGTGTGTGTGTGTATATATATTCATGGTTTTCGGCACAGCATGGGAAACATTTATTATTCTTTGCTACCACTGCGATTGCGCGTCCTATGCGATGCCCCTTCGATAGAGCCACCACATGCGGTGGATTGAAGAGCCGCATGCGGTGGCTCGGGAGACACCAGTCGGCCACCGCTGGTCTCGGGCGAAGCGAGGGGTCGTGGCGAGTGGGGGCCCACCGACTATAGTTTGAGTTGCCCATCACCGGTCCACGTTGTTGTGCCTTCCCAGATACCTGTGGGCTCTGGGCAAGAACGTTTGGAAGAGGTGGAAGAAGAGGTACTTTGTCTTGGTCCAGGTGAGGCAAGAAAGGCTCCACGCTCACCTGTGTGGGCTTGGACCATCGTCCGAAGAGCTGCGCTTCAGTCAAAGTCTCTGCGAAGAGGGCGTGCGCCAGAATGAGTTGCAACACCGCCTCCGATGGGAATGCAATACACAGTCGGCTTTGAGTCTCCTACTGAAAATCAACACCGAACCTCGATTTTACTCAGTCCACTCAACGACAGGTAGACGCGGTAATACTGTGGTTAGGTAATTTGCAAGGTCACTAGTGGAGGGGAAAAATGTGGGTAGTCTACAACAGCAACGTTGCGTACATATGGCCCCTATCAGGAGGACGGTCTCACGAGGCGTTTGTTAAAGTCCATCAGTGTTGCAGAAGAGGCGTTTCACGCTGCTTGGGAATGACACAGGCGAAGTTTCTGTCCTTGAAGTTATCCGAGTGCGACAGTTTGGAAGACCGCATTGCTCTCTTTTATTAGTTGTGGTCATTTGTAAATATCACTCGAACCGTCATAATGTGCGTTGCCTACGTGAGATGGTTCCGGTAGCGTTTGTTTAAACTAGGCAAGCGTGAACCCCAATTTCACTTCACTTAGTGTCATCAGCGGAGTGTAGCCTGTTTAACCAGTGCCGTGATGTTATGCACAAAATCACCCATGGGCAGTGTGGGATGTAGAATTAAGTTGCAACATTACTTGAAATTGTTTTTTTTTATATTCACTCCCTGAGCAAATTGTGCCATTCAATTTCGAAAGCAGGCAATGTGGTCTCAATCAACCGCTAAATGAGTCAGTCGTTTATTATTTATAACCAGGTGGAAGCTCAACGAGCCAATACATTGGCTTGTTCTGTGCATCGTTCTTTTGGACTAATTGTAATTCCTTTAAAGAGACCTCTCGTCGATTATAACCGTGTCTAATTATATTATCGACGTCGGCTAAAGCACCGCGCACCGTCGTTGCTTTGGGCATTTCCCCATTACCACTGCCATGTAGTGACCACCAGAGCACCGTCACGGTGGCGAGATGTTTACTACCTCGCCTGGTATAAAGGAGTGGGTGGGTTCAATCCCAACACTGACGCCCGTATTTTTGGAGTTTGCATCTTCTCACCGTGGTCGAGTGGATTTCTCTCCGGGTCCTCCGGTTTTTCCCTCCACATTTAGAATCGACATCGCCACGCTTTGAAAGTATTTGGCTGATGCTATAAATATCCACACGGTGATAAGCCACTTCGGTGAGCTGACATTTGTCACATCTGTAAACAAGCTGCATAGTAGCTTACCTGGTAACATAAAATAAAATTGAGTTACAAGATTTGAGGATACGACAACAACAGCAGAGTGAGTTAATAGAAAGCGTGTAACAATGATGTAAAAATATCTTTATTTCTTTCTTAATGATAAAATATAGTATTGTCATCAGTATGACATGAGTATACCAAGTTTGCAGTCGAGACCACATTGGGAAGTGGGTTAACATTGAGTTACAAGGTTTGAGGATACAACGACAACAACAGACAGCGTGAGCTCAATAAAAGCGTGTAAAAAATAGATCGGCGCCCACCGCCGGATTGGCCCCGGTGCCCGCGTTGCCGAAGGAAATGTTCTCTCGCCGTGCCGCAGGTGAGCCAGTACACCTTCGCCATGTGCAGCTACCGCGAGAAAAAGACCGAGCCGCAGGAGCTGATGCAGCTCGACGGCTACACGGTGGACTACACGGAGCCGCAGCCAGGTACAAAGACAAAGGTCCCCACCCACCCCCTGGCAGCGCCCACGTGGCCTCTCAGGTCAAGTGCCGTTAGCGGTGATTGCCCGGCATGGTGTGGCCGGGACCATTACGCCTGCTGTTTATTTGGAGTTTGCGTGTCTCTCTCCCCCATGGTCGCGTGGATTTTTAATCGGATCCTCCGGTTTTTCCCTCCATATTTAGAAGCATGCATTTGGCTCATATAAATTTCTACATTGTTGAGCTATCATTTGTGGCGAGGTCACTTCTGAAATTTAAGAGCTGTATAGCTCAGTTGGCCTTAACCTGGTAACATACAAAATCGTATCATAGTTTAGTTACGAGCATAGAGAGGGAGGCCTCTATATTTCCGCTCTCTCCCATCCCACCTCCCGTCCCACCCAACCCACGCTGCCTCAGGCCTGGACGGGGGCCGCTCCTTCTTCAACGCGGTGAAGGAGGGCGACACGGTGACGTTCGCGAGCGACGACGAGCAGGACCGCATCCTCTGGGTGCAGGCCATGTACCGTGCCACGGGGCAGTCGCACAAGCCCGTGGCGCCCACGCAGATCCAGAAGCTCAACGCCAAGGGCGGAGGCCCCCAGATGGACGCCCCCATCTCCCAGTTCTGTGAGTGGCCGCGATCGCCGCGTCGGCAGCTCGCCGCTGCCACGCTCCCCGTGCCCTTCCTCCGCTCGCAGCGTCCCGCGTGAATGCGGCCGTGACGCACCTCCGGTTAGCACGGTTGGCTACTTGCGAAAGACGTTCGTACGTACGTACGCACAATGTCCTCGCCTCGACGTGGCATTCCAATTGTTCTGACCGTCACAAAATGTAACCGATGTTTTGGCTTGACCCAGCTCCGTTCTTGGTTTGGTTCTTCAACAGTTTGCAGTAGGAATTAAATAACAGTTAAATTATATGGAAATGGACGTCCCACGCGATTGATTTCGTTGAATATCTTGCGTCACTTGCGAGCATTGATCGCTGTGGGCGAATGTTACGGCTAGATTTGTTCAGGATATCATACGCACAAGTTTGGTTTGCCCAATGGAGGAAACGCAGGCCTAGTATCTCTACCAGCACCGTGCAGCGCATTGGAGCGTCGGTGTGGAGAGAAGAATAACATTGTGTGTAACAGCGGGATCGTTAAACGTTGGCTAGAAAATGCAAACACTTATATTGTACTCGCATAGGAGTGTATGGCCCAAACAGTCAAACACCAAACACATGAAAATTAAGTTTATCTAAATAATCTACATTAAGCTTTAGTTATAACTGAGAGCCTCAATAGTTATATAGAATAAAATCCACTTTATCTATTTGGAGTTTAAAAAAAAATCGTTATTGGGTTAAAACATGTTTTAAAATGGCTTGACAATTCATGCCAATTCAGTAGTAACAATTTTTTGAATTAATTATCCATACACAGCCTTGTGTTACACAACATTACGACATACCTACCACTTTCTCTGAGATGTATATTTTTGCAAGTACTAAATATGACGTGTTTGTAAACTCGCGTAAACACTTCATAAAGACGAGACGACGTCACTTTAATGACACTCTGATCTTTACCGTCGCTGCTCTGAAGTCTAAACGCAAAGCATCGCTCAACATCCCGGTCGACTTTGAGACCGCCGTGAGCAACAGCGGTCAACGCCATCACAGTCCTCGCACTTCCAATATCACAGAAAGGACTTCACCAAGTCTAGACTGTAGACTCCATACGCTTAACTTCAACGGCCATGGCGCCCTGTGCTCTCCTGCTGTCCACTCAACGAGTTCTCCACCCTCGGTTAGTTCCCAGTGACCCACTGCCCCCATTGAGCTACCGCACACGTTGCCCGCCGTGTATGCGGGTGCAGACTACCCCTCGCAGCCCCATCATTAACCCAGATACCTTTGCAATTATATCTGTACATCGCAATGAGAGCCTGCACCTCGCATGTAACTTTATTCCAGTTTCTTTGTTTAAATGTTGTTCGTGCAGGACTTGCAAGGGTCCTTGATTAAGTTTGCGGACCTTACAAGTAATTGTCATTTTGGTGAATGTAAATTTTGCTCTTTAAAACAAAGCTTCTAAAATATTGTTTTCCCAATATGTTATTTATTTGACAATTTTAGTAACTTTCATTTATGTGTGGCCATTAAACAACTCTTTACCAGTGACCTGCTTACAAACAAATAACAATCACGTACACGTCACATACACGTCACACACACACACATGTCACATACACGTCACACACGTCACAGACACATACACATGTCACATACATACCATAGACATACACACACACACGTCACATACACACGTCACACACACACACGTCACATACACACGTCACATACACGTCACAGACACATACACACGTCACATACATACCATAGACATACACACACACACGCCACATACACATGCATACCATAGACACACGCCACATACACATGCATACCATAGACATACACACACATATCAATCACACACACACGTCAATCACACACACGTTAATCACACACACGTCACATACACACATATCAATAAATAAAAAATGTTGTAGCGCTCTACATTCAGTAAAGAGTTGAGACAGAAGCGCAGACTGCACAGAGACATTTTAAAACTAAACCGCAGGGAAAATAAATTATTTGAGTCCCGTCTTTAAACCATTGTCACGGCTGAGCAGAATTCCATTGGCTGACCCGGTGGGCCTGAACAACTCCGTTCTGCTGCCCATAGACAGGTCCTCGTGAACACACCCACCCACCGCGTGGACTCGGACACGCTCATTGTAGGCGGCCTCGTGCTCTGTGCCAGCTTCGTGCGCGTCCGTCCGCGCGTGTCGGCGGCGGCGGCGGTGGCGGCGCTGGGTGCCAGCGCCTCAACGCGGCGTTGCCTCGGGACGTTGTCAGGACGCGATGAAGGCGACACCACGATAGCATGCCTTTCGCAAATCTGTTAATTTACTTGAAATTCCTCCGATAATTGTCTCAATTAAAGTCTTCCGCCGTGCTGCGAATTGACGGTATCAATAAAAGCCCGGGCGTTGGCGAGGCACGTCTCAAAGGAGAGGGTGGCGGGTGGAGTGCGCGGTGGGGGAGGAGGGGATGACAGCGGCTCATGGCACCAGCACCACAGCCGTCGCCGCCGCCGCCGCATGCTCGCCCGAGGGTTTTCTCACTCCGTCGACCGCCGTCTCCCGTGCCGACGTGGACCGCGTGCGGCAGCCTTCTTACTCGTTTCACGGCGCGCGTTGTTGTTGTTGTTGTTGTTTGTGTTTATACGACGTGTGTGCTCTGTCTCCTCTCGCTCTGCTAACACCCTAGTGGGACTGAAGGGTAAGTTGTCGTCTCACGGTGGGGGGCTCACGCCCTCGCCACGGGATAATCCGCGTGGATTATTGGCCGACACGTGCATCTTTTCTCCTACAGATGGCGGTATTTTACTTCCTCGTTGAAACAAGCCCCACCGGATGCTTCGCCGCAACGGTGCTACCCCCGTTCCCACTCATTTAAAGTAGCAGCTCGGGGTTATTTAAAGCGATTGGGGCCGTTAGCAGGACAGTTAGAGATGGGGGAAAAAGTAAACGGGAAAAATTCCGACGGCTCTCGGTAGTTGCAAGTTAATTCCACTCGTTCGAGAGGAGCAGACTTACGATCCGAGCGATGCCCTCTTGATAGCAACACATGTTCTGGTGCCATCACTATCATGGGCGGGGGCAGCTGGCTTGGGTTATGCTGTCGTGTGTAGATGTACGGCGGACTACAGGGCAACTCGAACAATCATCAAATTGGCAAAATGGCAACGATTCATGATCACCAATCGTTTGGTGCTTCATTATCCCCAACGAGAGCAGCAGCAGCCTAACACCAAATCACAAGTCAGATCTGGAAGCTAAGCAGGTTTGAGTTCGGTCGGTCATCAGATGGGCGAGAATGCCCGGGAATAGCGGCACCGTTAAGCCGTAGGGGAGATGCAGTCGGAATAATTGACTGGGGTCTCAGCGCGCATGGCTAGGACCTGGGGAGTAGCGCAGGGGGCAGAGTGAGCCGGTGGGCGATCCGATCCCCAGCGCCCTGGGGGGCCCTCCCAACGTGCCGGGCGCCCCCCGCGGGGGAGGAGGAGGAGGGGGGGGGGCGGTGCGCACGGTCGGCACTGAGCGAGTGAGGGCTTGTTTCAGCCCCGCCGAGCGGCGCGAGGAAGGGAATATCGCCTGGAGCCCTGCATGCATCCGCACTAATTCCATCTTGATTCACACGGGGTGCCCCGCACCCCCAACCCACACCCCCTCCACCTCAATCCCGCACCGTCTCCTCTCCCTCACCTCCCCCCCCCCCCAAACCCCCACGGCACTACCGCCTTGCAAAGCCAAACCTTGGCGGCTTTACTGGCGCTGGCGCAGTACTGGTCTCTGTTAGATGCAGGCTCTCCCATCCACCGGCCTTGTGCCCCGACCGCCACTCCGCTGCTGTGCGAGGATCGTGACTCGGTGCCGTTAACGCGTCCGTGCGTGCGTGCGTGTGTGCGTGCGTCCGGTCTACTCGTACCGTGTTGTCCCTGCATGTCACAGTCCATGCACCTTGGCTCGAGCACTTGACTAATACTACTGCGCTCCCGTGCAGTGTCAGACCCCCAATTAGTTAATTTGTGATTTCATTTAATTCGTTTTTGTTTGTCCCCCGTCTTTTTTTTGACGTATGTATTTGTTTAGTTGCAAAGTTATTTTGTTTTCATGGTTGTTTTCTTGTTAATCGTCTGTTTGATGTCGTGGGTTGTCCGCGAGGCTGTTTATTTCGGTGCTCTCCTTTTATAAATGCGCCGTGTCGACCGTTTTAAGAACGATAGCTTTAAAAACAAATTCAAGAAAGGCCACTCGCCGAACCAGTTGGAACTTCAACTATCACCAAATAAATATGGGTAGCTTCAACACGGTGATTCGATTCCGTGTGATACTTGCAGCGTACAGATGACACATCTGTAAATTCCATATGCCAACAAAATGGGAATAATTGAACTGATGTAATTTTAAATATTTATCTTTAGAATTTGCGCATCACGATACTAGTGGACTGATTTGTATTCCCGATTGTCGATGTGAAATCTTGTTTTGCCAGTCTGTCGCTCAAAACATTAGCTCTGTGCCAAATGCCAAAAGCCAGTAGGCCACATGGGACTGAAATTCCAAAGCCAATTGCAAGATTGGTCTTTCTTTTATTTTCCTCCGCAAACTTTCCTTGAGATTTGTGTTGTTGTTCAGATCTCCGTAAGCTAAGCAGGGTTGCACCTGGATTGTCCTTGGATAGGTGACCACCATGCAGAGCTACGCAGCAGGTAGCAGAGGGCAGGGCAGCAATTCCATTGTTGCGCAATACTTCTATGCTCAACATCCCGGCCTTCACCGAGTGGCACTGTCCAGCGCGGTGAAGTACGGTCAGAGAGCCCCCCCCCCCCCAGCCCACACGGTATGGGGAGGCTGTTAGCTAGCAGCGTATTGACAAAGGGCTAGGCATGTATTTACATTTAGGTCTATAAAGACAAAGATCCCCCGTATAGCCTGAACAGACTGTTGGGGCAAGTGCTGTTAGCAAGCACCTATGAAGGCAGGAACGGCGCACGAGGGGGTGGGTGGCCGGCACCACGCACGGCTGCCTTTGTCTCCCTCGTGGTAATGTTTTTACACATCACACCAGGTACTCATTTGAGGCCGTGTCGACCTAGGGGAGGCCCAGGACCGGTTCAGATAATCGTCACGGGTGTTGGCCGTGAGCGGGAATCGAACTCTGATCGCCAGGTTCGATGGCGCAGCATGCTCACCGTTTACACTGCCGCTGTGTGTGATATATAGGTGTATATATAGGTGTATTATCACACACACACACGCGTCTACAGTGGAAAGCAAGCTAGGTGGCAATGTGGCTTGACTTCCAATCGAAAGTTTGGGAAATCAAATTCCCATTGAGGATTAGCTGAGCCCAGCATCCCTCTGGGATTAGATAAACTAATGACCGTTTTGAGTAGACTCATCCCTTGCCACAGGGATGTGGAATTTCCACCGGTGGCTCGGGGCCACCGAGATGAATACTGCCTATCGTGCTTTTAAGAAAACCTTGAGCGAGAAAACATGCTCATTTGCGATACCCATATACGTATATGCGCCATGCAGACTCAAATTATCTCACGGTCACTTTCTCGTGTAATGCTTCATGCGTCCGGTCATGGTCTTATCCCGCTATGTGTGTAGGTAGACCGCAGGCTCGGCGGTTACCCTGTGACGTTTACGCTGCCACCCAAGCGGAGGTGGTGGGGAGAAGGGCACGTGCACACGCGTGATTATTGCACCTGCGGGGCTGAATGCGTGTGTGCGCGCGCATCGCGCTGCCGGGAGAGCCAATCGTTGGGGAGCAGTCTGCGTGAGTCAATGACGGCTCGCGATCAGGCAGCAAGACCAGCAAAGACAAAGATCCCCCGTATAGCCTCAACAGACTGTTGGGGCAAAGTGCCGTTAGCGAGCACCGTGTTTCTTCCCCTGCTGTCCCATCTGTCCTGCCGCATTGTCTCCTTCTATCCGACCATTGGTGGAAACCGGGTCGGGTGACACAGTTATTCTCACTTCTCGGATTCTGTCCTGAAGATGCTTGGCAGAGTTGCAAGGGAAACGTCTTATCTAATTGCTCGACGTTTGGTTGTGAGATTTGTTCTTCTTCCCCTGTGTGAGCTCAATCAATGACGATCGGTGCGCTTAGACGCTCGAACACGTGACCATTTAATTTGTTTGGCTGTGTAGCATGATGGGAGATTTGGCCGGGTCATTGTGTTACCAATTCCAAATATCAATTGTGAATCGTACCGTTGTCTTCGAAAACAAACCTACATGTCAGGTTAATCGATTCCTGCACCATAGCTATTCAACGCATGTATTGTGAGCCACGAGAATCAATTTAATCAGTGAATCATTAGATACCTGGTTTTTAATGTACCGTGGAAATCTTTCTGTGTTAGCGCGAGCATTTGTTTTGAGATATACGTGCGTGTATATTTTTCTATAATAACCAGATTTTTTTCAGATTATGCTGAAGATTATAGTTTTAGCATACAAGCTGTGACCATTCCATGGGGGGCACTGATGCTGTGCTGCTATGCAATCGGAATGAATTGGTCACACGCCTGAGTCTCGCAGGAGGACTGGAGTTGGTGTTTGGCTTCTCCAGTCTATGAGGCCTTAATTCTCACAGAAACGAGAGGGTGCGGTAGGGGGGGGCGGGGGGGGTGGGGGGGGGTGGCGGGGGGGGGTTGTCCTCGGTAATCACCGGAGAGGAAGCGGCAGGCAGGACGAGCACCACGGAGATGGAGCAATGAGATCGGCTCGCGTGCCGGAGTGAGGAGCGTGGTGGATTGTGGTATCGTAAGATGGAGACCTTTGTCCGGCGGTAGATTGCGGCTGCCTGTTATTGTGTTTATCAATTTTGCGTGAATCTTCAGGGAGACTTAGGGTTTATGATTGTGCTTACGGGTCTGTGGATTGTCTGATGGCAACGCGTTATATCTTGAGCAAAAATTTCCCCTCAGTTCGTGCTGCAAATCAAGAGGTAAATTTTACTTGGGTCAGGGGGGGAGGGGACCGGACGGTTCAGATTATTTTATGCAACTGGCCACAGGCCTCCCATTCAGGAAAATTTGATTGAAAGTTGGTGGACCACATAGAGATGAAGCCACAGCATGCAATGTCCTCTTTCAGGCCTACAAGGTGCCAGTTTGCCTGATGATGATGCTGGTTGTAACTACCAGTGAAACGTCCGTACGCAATTGTTGAATGTTTTGCGAATCGATTTCCTTCATACAAGTGCTGCTGAAGCGCGAAAAATTTGGCACGTTTGTTCACGTGACAACTTTATTAATTGGTTGTGTCGGGCGGAGAAGGGTTTACGACACACACTTTACTTGCGCTGTCTGATCCAAGCATAAATTGTGAATCATAAAATACAGGTACAGAATGACATTGTAATCAAACAACGCTCAAGGTACAATACCAAGAGCGTCTGTGCAATTAAACTTCAAAAGTTTTTGAGTGACTATCTACGTCTCTGCGTGTAGTCAGGACCTTTCATTAAGCAGTTAATGAAAGGTTCTGATTATTTGCAACAAAACAGTGATTATATGTGGACGGATCGCGCTGTGGCAGAACCCTCAATCCGTTCCTGAAATGCTGCGAGTTCCAAATCCCAAGCGGGGATCAACCCAGCCCATCATCATCATAATTCCTGTGGGGTTCATAAAATAGGCACCAGTTTAAGGGAAGTCAAAAGTGGTCATTCTTTTGGACAAAATGGCCCATGCCATATAAATGTTGAATTTCCATCGCTCGCTCACTCAGGACCGGCCCTGGAAATCCACACCGCCTCCGCACGTTGGCGCGCCGAGATGCTTTGACTCGATTCCACTCCGTCGAAGAGTTCCCCGAACGGATCGACGAGGCCTCCTCCCTCCTTCGCCCGCACCCGACAGGCGGGCGGGCGGTCATCGCGGCCGGACGCGTGTCAAAGCTTGCCTGCGTGTGCCCTCTCTCGTCTGTCCGTCTCTCTCTCTCTCTGTCTGTGCGTCTCCGTTGTCACGTGCGCGTGTGTGCTGCCCCGATTGGCAGACGCGGACCGTGCCCAGAAGCACGGCATGGACGAGTTCATCTCGGCCAACCCGTGCACCTACGACCACGGCTCGCTCTTCCAGATGATGCAGCGCTTCACCCTCGACCACCGACTCAACGACTCCTACTCCTGCCTGGTGAGGCAGCCGACCGAGGAGGTCCCGTCGCCGTGGACATGGGGACGGCTGGGGCGGCGCGCTTGATCTATCGTTACTATTATGTCCCGTGCCTTCGATTAGCACGGCTGGCTACGCGCGGTGCGAAATAATTTTGACGTACGTACAGTACCGTTTGCCCTGTCGCCGTGTTCCTCGCAGGGCTGGTTCAGCCCGGGCCAGGTGTTCGTGCTGGACGAGTACTGCGCTCGCTACGGCGTTCGCGGCTGCCACCGCCACCTGTGCTACCTCAGCGACCTGGACGAGCGTGCCGAACGCGGCACCATGATCGACCCCACGCTGCTCCACTACAGCTTCGCCTTCTGCGCGTCGCACGTCCACGGCAACAGGTGAACGAGGCGGCCTTGGCCAGAGGGACCGAGTCACCCCAGGCCTGCAATCACGCCGCCCGGAGCCACACCACACTACCCTGTGACCAAGTCACCCTTAGCCTTCGGCTAATTCACCTTTGACCTACAACCAATTCATCCTTGACCTACGACCAATTGACCCTTACCCTTTGACAAATTCACCTTTAACCTACGATCATTTCACATTTGGCCTATAACCAGCTCTGGTGGGAATCATACTCCTCCCTGTGACCTATTAACCCCGAATGTGCTCAAGCCCGTCAGGGCTGACCCTTGTTTGCGCTTGGATAGGAGAGGGAATACCAGCTGTTGTAGAATGTGAGGTTGGCCAGGAGATGGCAGAGCAGGAATTAACGTGTGAATGTATCTGTGTGGGTCTTTGAGAGTTAACCATACGTATGTGACGATGGCTGGCTCTTGCATTGCCAGCCATCGTCATCTGGTCTGATGATGAGCCGTGGGTAGCGTTAATTTGTCAGTTCAATGGTGCCAGTGGATCGCGAGACGCTATTGCACTGGCATATTTAATGTGCATTTCCTCTGTACAGTTTTTTTGTATTGTCTGAAAGAAAAAAATGTTTTGATGATATTTGGGTGAAAAGAGAATTCGTGACAGCAGACTATGGAAGTAAAAAAATGAAAACATCAGTCACTTTCATTTTATTCAAGTATGATCATTCATATTTGACGAGTGATTATGCCAGGATTGCTCACCTCGCATCGCGAATAATGTTCTTGTCAAAATATTAGTTGGCTAAAAATATGTTAATGTATTTGTTTCTTCCTTTGTAAAACTTTTACATATTGAGCATAGCTCCGCCAATTATAATTTGACTTGTTTTTGTTTTCTTGTGACAGCTGTTTGAAATGGCATTTAATTTGTTAATAAAATAAACCCTGTCAGTGTGGGAATGTGGAAAATAATTACTTAAAAAATATCTCTATGATTACATATGTTTATGAATTTACCATCACGTCTAATTACTTGCTAATTCAGTGCTGTTGGCTTTCCTAGTAGCAGGCAAAACTGTGAATGTAAAGTTGCTTCCTCTGATTAATTCCAACATAGCTTAGCCAGTGCTTGCTTTACCGCGTGTTGTGAGTGAAAATTGTCCTTCAATTACAAATGAGATTAATGTTTTAGTGGCAAATGTGTTGATTTATTATCGTGACTAATTTGTAGTTCACGCGACAGCTTTTTGTCGTCATCGCATGCTTCCTTTAATTATTTGCACATTGTTTGTTACACCTTTTATTTTAATTTATTAACGCAGTGTGTTTTCCTCTCTTCTCTTGAACTCTATTGTCGTTGTTGTTGTTTATAATCCCTTTCCCAAACCGTTCATTAATTTGTCTAATTCCACTTTTTGACCAAAACCAAACCTTGTTCAATTTCAAACGAAACCCACTGTTTTAACCGTCCACTGCCCCGTCAACAACCTATCCACCCACAACACGATCGACCGAATTCCCCGCCCTAACGTGTCCACCGACACCGAACACGCGAATGGGCGGGGGGGGGAAAAACAAAGCCAAGGAAGCGCTGAGCTTTTGCAAGCGCCCCAGGGCCAGGCCTCGGAGACGGCCGAGGGGGAGAAGTCTCCAACTCCCCCCGCGCCGGAGGGCGAGGGAGACCTCAAGCGTAAGGAGTCGAAGCGCGGCTCCCGCAAAGACGCAAAGTCTGGTGGGAAATTTGAGCCCAAGAGGTGGGTAAACCGAGGCTCGGGGGTGTGGCCTGGTGACACAGAGATGCCGCATGCATTTACGCCGTGATAAATGCATGAGCCGCGCTGGGCTGGTGCCCGTCAGACGTTACCGGTTTTTGCCGCTTAATTGCTCCTTCTGAATGTTGGGAATGCGGCAACGTCCGCGTGGTTTGGGCAAGCGCGCTCTTTAACGAGTTAACGTGCAAAGCGAACAGTCGGTGCGGATTCTGCGGGTCTCGTTGTGCATCTGTATCCTGTGCTGCAGCGAGCGGGGTTGGAGTCTTTGCCGCTACGCCGCGTTATGTTGAACTCCTGGCTGTGGAGCACGATGCAAGTTACCGGTCCACATGTTTGCTCTCGATCTCCTTTGGGATTGCTCAGCCTCACAATAAGTTCCCGCTGTGCTCCTCGACCAACAACCACATTGGGGAGACAAAATTGGCCGCGATCGATCCTGACCATACCGATCGTATCAAGTGCCATGCTGGCCTTCACGGGTACTTGCTCACAGCACTTGCGCCATTATTTTCTAAAGTGTAAATGGGATGTTTCCGTGTATTTGACCCGCGGTGTATTCATACGCGGCGGTGCATGAATACGCGTCGGCATGTGGTTTGCACAAATGCGTCAACAACACGGGCGCTGGGGCGGTGACCCCATCATCATCGGCGCACTGCGCTGAGTCACTCTTTTCAAAACCGTTTTTATAATTGTCAATACAGCATTCAAGTTTGTGCATGTATTAACAAACTGGATTGTATGTTAATTTCCAACATATTTACGGTATTATATGGTATATGATGCAGTACGGCACAGCCATCGTCTTACATTCAGAATGTTACGCATATACAATTAAGTGGCAACAGAAACTTACGTTATCGTGGCATTTCTAAGTTTTCATCAGGGCAGCACCAAGCCTTGAGTCTGCAAGGCAGTGGTCCGTTTGCTGCCTGTTGTCACTTCTACTGTGGAGCAGAGACCTTTACCTGAAACCAAAGTTGTTTCACGGATGGGTGGGGGGGGGTCACTCGAAAAACGTCACGGAAATTGCACGTTTTGCGGCCAGACGTTCGTGTGTCCCCTCTCGGGTGCTTTGCCAATATCGTAGCACGCGCGCGTTTTTTGCCTCGTTACATTTCTGGGACATTTTCTTCTCGGTCCACACGAATGCTTAGCGGCGAGGATGCTTCGTGTGAGCTCTGTACATGGGGATAAACCGGCTATCCTCGAGCATTGTTTACGCTTGCAGCACTAAAATCCAGAGTTCATAAGAAAATATTTCCAAGAAAGTGCAGGCCTATGATGCAGGCTTCATTTGACGGCAGATGGCTGGCTATTGTCACGCAACTACATCGGTTACAATCCTGAACAAAACACCTATGGCCACACCAAAGAGTCTACAATGACTACAGGAATTAAGTGGCAAAGTCTCCATTGCTCTTCCTGCACTGCTGCATCAGACGGAAACATGCTACTGAGTGCAATTGTAGCCGGTATGCATCCTAATGTTCTGCAGATTTTATGGCTGGATCTCGAGAAGGGGGTTTTCATATTGAAGCTTGACACAAAATAACAATTGATGAGATTCCATCTCCGAAGCTTACAGGTGCTCCTGATATTAACGCCACCCTTAAAGGTGCCTTTATTACAACATACAAGCCAGGAATATTAACACAAGCATCTGCCGGTTTGAACAATGCTCTCCGTTAAAGTGTTCACGCAACACAGACAAAGTTCGATGAGGTTCAAACGCCCGGCTCGTTTAATTTGTAACCGTTTTGTTTTTGCACTGCTGTGCTTTCCGCCGGGCGGCACGCGTTGACAGTGTGTTTGATACGTGGCATGTGTTCTGGCAGTGTGCTCGGTAATTAAAAGTTAATGCTGCAGGCCTCTCGAGAAAAGCACCACGGCCACAATCGCATGCAATGGGCAGCTGCCGAACAGCGATGAGAGCCGGGTATCACAAGCGGTGTCCTCGAAAGTGGCATCATTAAAAGCAAGCGCACATGCGCTGGTCATTAGCGGCCATCGCCGCCGAGGCAGTCGTCACGGCATGATGATGGTCGGAGGAATCGCAACATCGGTGCAGCAGCTTCCACGGGGAATTACACCAGTGGGCATTACGTCATGCATTTCAATAGTTCATTTCATGCTACAGGCGACTTTGCCTGCAATGACAAGAGCTATGTTAACGTAAAAAGGTACTTTCTAAAACGAATGTGTGGATGCTGCCTTGGCAAGAGGTCGTATTAAAACACGAATAATCTGTAGCGGGCTCTGTCTGCTATCTGTTGGCTTTAGCATCATACTCCACGGGGTATGCATTCGTCAATTCATGGATGGTGGGGAGTGGATATTGATGTATTTAGTACAATACGGATGTATAGAGCATCCGCATGCAATCGCATCTCAAGACGCCTTACAGAAACACCGGCCATATAATAATAATAATAATTGACATTTGCAAGGATCATTTCATCCGTAGATCCTAACGCGTGTGACAGAGAAAAGCACGAGTGTTCATAGGCAGAGGGAAGCAGGGACGGTGAGGAGCCTGCTCTTGTATTGTTCAACGTTGAGAGAACGTTGTGGGGCTGACACTGCCCTGGCGGTGAGACCAGTAAACTCTCTGGTTGCAATGTTTGTGGGCCCAGATGCAGATAATTTGGTTTTCAGATTGTACTAGTTATGAGCACATGCCCTTCCAGAACATCATGATAATTACACGTGAGTCACGATCATATGTCTATATTCTAAAAATGAACAAGTTGCAGGTTTGTTTAATCGCATTAATAGATGGATGATAGATCAAATGTAGCTGCTGCTGGTTTCCCGATACTAATGTGTCGTAGTAGCACTTGTGTAGATAGTCCACGGGTCCAGATCGGTGTCAAACTCGTCAGTGCTACTTGGGGTGGCGTGACTTTAGAGGCTTCCAATTTCTTTACGTGGCCAATAACAGTGAATTGTCCGGTAAACGTTTAATTTCTTTGTGTTTAGTTTGTTATCCTTCCTCCGCACCTCTGATTAGCACGGATGGCTACGTGCGGTGCGAAATAAGTTCAACATACATACATATGTACAAACTGAGTGGGGTATAAAAAAAATGCACTCACATTTGCTGGAGTTGTGCTACCCCAGTTGGTACGAATTTCACCTCTGGCCCGTGGACTGCAACTAGAATGACCTTTGACCGATTTTGACGTCGCTAATTTATTCTCCCTAGCCGATGAGCTGTCGTCGTGAGGTCGACAAGATTTCCTTGCTTAAACAAATGCTGCTGAATACACTAATCTGGACGGCCCATTGGCCGATAGATTAAATGTTATTTCCTTTCGGGGATAAAGCAAATCCCTTAGTTTTTATTTATTTAAAAAAAAATGACAAATGACAACCGCTGTGATAATAAGTCCTGGAAAAAAATGTTTTCGCTTGAAATAAGCCTACCGTTAGGCTGATTAAATTTTTTTTATATATATAAACAAGAGTTTCTAATTCGCGAAAACAATTTCACTGTCTCTTTTGGCCGTACGTGTCTGTGGATCGTGCCAGTTATTTGACGCGGGGGCTGCTGCTGCTCGGCATTAAACCCCCACCTCGGGCTTCAGCAGAGAGAGGGCACGCAGGAACCCGTGTCGCACCTTGCTCTTTACAACTTGGGACCTTCTGTCCAAGTTGGCCTCCCAGCCGCTGATGTGGCCGTTGTTCGCTTTTGCTCAATGGATTCTCGAACGCGGCCGCGTGTCTGCGTCGTGTGTGCGTGCGTTCCGATCTCGTCCGTTGCTTTACACGGGCAAAGTGACCTTCCCTCACGAGAGAGCAAACTCCGGTCATCCTGGCAGCAGCGGCTTTTGGCTAGCCATCGAACATAGACGGTCATTGCATAGCGTGCTTCCAGATGCTATATACACTATTCTAGAAGACACTACACGAGGATACACTACACTATGCTACATGATACACTACACCTTTGGCTAGCCAGTGAACAATGACGGCCACCGCATCGCGCGCTTTCACATGCGATTCTTCGGCCGTCTGGAACGCTCTACCGATATTAGGAAGAAACTGGAGCTATGCACTTTTAAATCATCTAGATTGAAAACTCATTTCTTTAGAACTGCTTTTTATGTTAGTTTGTTGTCCTTCCCCCACACCTCCGATTAGCACGGTTGGCTACGTACGGTGCGAAATAAGTTTAACAAACATTCATACAGCCTGACAGAATCGTACACCTAATGAAATAAAATAGTCAATGTGTTCCGGTGGTAGGGTCAAGAATGGGTACTCCTGCATCCTCCAAAATTTCTGGCAAGCATGGAAGAGAAGGCCAATGACCATGCAGAGGGGCTGTAGAGCCCACAGTAGTGGAGGCACTTCTGGCAACGGTGGTGTGAGCAGGAAATTGCAGCGCTGCACCTTTTTCTTTACGAAATTAAGATTTAAAAAAAATAAGTGCTGACGAGTCTAAAAGCCTCAGTACTGCTTTAAGACTTGCGTAAAGTTTTTCATGTTTCAATCATCCACAGTTTGGCGTGACAAATTTTGTCAGGAAATATTCTCTTAAGTAATTTGTTCTTTGTACATTACCATTATTAATCTTATTTACAAACCACGAGGTTTGACTTCTAATGTAATGAAGTTTCTCATGGATGTCTCTGCTAACGCTAAATTCAGCTCATTCATTGTAATGAACTGCGTATAAAACGATACGTTCACGTGCTGCGATATGAACCTGGCCACCCGAGTTTGATTCCTGGCCATGGCTATAATCGGTGGTATCTGAAACGCTTTTGGTTCCCTCCCCCACCAACCGCCACTGACCAGCGTGGTGAAGTATGGTCAAACAACCCCGTGTGGCGTGCACAGCTTGGGAAGGCCTTCATCTAGCAGTGGATTAACACACGGCTGTAAATTCGAATTACTATTTGTAATTATTATTATTCATCTTTACCCAGGAAAGCCTCGCTCAGGTTTTTCGCAATGGGGGTGGGGGGGGCGATGATTGCTGTCCGGTGCGTATGATCCCAATGAGTAATCTGCCGTTCATTTTTATAACTTGGCAAATTTGTACAATGCCCTCGACGTCAGGGGATCTTTAACCTCCACTGTGAAACTCACGGTAGCGCGTCGTACTTTGAACTTCTTTCGCGCCGTACGTAGCAAACCGTGCTCAGCTTGATAGTTATTACGGAAAGGAAAGCAGGCGAATCAAAACAGCTTTACGTTACAACGTGCACTTCGACAATTCGTCTGATGCACAGAGGTCAGCCAAAATATGTCTGTGGTCATCAAAGTCCCGCTAGAAATCTGCGTTATCTGCCTGGAGATCACACACTTTGATGCAGAACTCGGCAGCTGCACAATTCCACGGGTTTATAACGAAGAGAGATGAGAGAGAGAGAGATTAAAATAATCTTGCCAAGGCCTTGTTGCTTGACCTTTTCGAGGTCTCGTGCCTCTGGGAGTTCATCCTCAACGTCACTTTTTATCTTTCCCCTGTGGCGAACAATCGCTGCAAATTAACCTCTGCCGTGAGCCTTATTACGGGGCACGCCGGTTCGCATGCAGCTCTAACAAGCAGGAGGTTCAAACGGAGAAATCTCCCGAGACGATCCAAAAGTTGCCAAGAGCTCGAGTGCAGGTGCTCTCATTTCTGTCGGAGTGCCCCGACTGGTGACAGCAGCGATGGTGGAGTAAGGTGCTGAGGAGCGCGGCGTGCGTGTGTGTGTATGTGTGCGTATGTGTGTGCGTCCGTGTGCATGCGTGTGTGTTTGCGTCGTGTGCGTGCATGTGTGCATGTGTGTGTGCGTGTGTGTGTGCGTGTGTGTGTGCGTGTGTGTGCGTGTGTGTGTGCGTGTGTATGCGTGCGTGTGTGCGTGTGTGTATGCGTGTGTGTATGCGTGCGTGTGTGCGTGTGTGTATGCGTGCGTGTATGCGTGTGTGTATGCGTGCGTGTGTGCGTGTGTGTATGCGTGCGTGTGTGCGTTCACGACGTCCGTGACAACGGCGGCAGGGCGGCTCGCGGGCAGAGACGCTGCGTGCAGGTCGGGAGGTCTGTGTGGAGCGACGCAGAGTCGTGGGGGTGAGGGCAGCGTGTGGGCGGGCGAGTGGGCGAGGGAGGCAGGGTGGGTGGGTGGGAGGGAGGGATGGAGCAGTGATCGGGCCACACTAATCATCTGCCCTTCCCCAGCCCAAGCCCGGATTAGCGTTTTTCAGGAAATGACAGGCAAACTCGGGATTTTTGTTTTTGCCAAGAGGTTTAACCTCCGGTGACCAAAGACACCACTTCATTATCTGGCCCATCCCGTTACTCTACGCTCGCCGGGCACAGCCCGCCTCCCGCCTCCCGCGATAGCCCTCGCACTCTGCCACGGTTAAACAACAACAAAAATAGCCGCGGTGAGATAAGGCTCAGGATATGAATCGTGGCTTCTTAAACATCGGCGCGTACGATCGCGCACACAAAGCGGACCGCGTCGCGTGCGCGCGCGCGTGTGTTCGCGTCCGGGTTGTGTACTACGTGCCGTTCTTGAAGAAGCAAAAAAAAACACGCACGGGAAAGGATACACACGGACACGGCAGACGTGTGTTTAGTGTGATTTTCGTTGCTGTGGGGGAGAGTGTTGGTGCGCTAACGCCACCGTTCAATCACCGCGTTGCACTCTTCTGTTCGACTCCACATTGGAACCGGGCCACAGGGTGCATTATCAGGGCGGGTGGCGTACGTACGGTACGAAAGAAGTTCAACATGCACAGGCGTACATTATGTAAATAGACGAAAATTACAATGCTACGATGCGTCCAGCAACGCGGTCGTCGGACAGGAGAGGTGGGAGCTTGCTCACACTTTACCCCACCACACACGATCTGCCAATTGGCGAACTGTGGGAGGATAAAAGTGAAATTCTTTATCAGTGAAAATTTCAGTTGCGTAGTCCGCCCAGGAATTAAAAAAAAAAGGTGAATTGGCTGAAACATTTTATGAACGTTTCAAACGTCATATATATTTATTTTCACTTTAATATGGACAATATAAATGTAAAATGTGATGCATTTTGAAAACATGTGAATTGCATTATTTATTCGCAATAGCACAATTTTCACTGTCATCATCATCATTATTAAAACATGTTTTATTTGGGAATTATTTTGTTGTTAGCGAAACAGCAATCACGGGAGTGAACGTCAACGCGCTGTTAATCTACATTACTCGCTGCGTGTTAAAGGAATATTGCGTTCCGTGTAAATATACGCGCTCGGAGCGCGAAGCGATGGAGAGGTTTGTCGAGCAGCATATTCTTGCGAACGCTCGTAAGCCGTTAAAAATTGCTCATTTTCAATCCCCCTTGCGATGAACGCACGGACCGCGAGCCAGACGGCAGGCCGGCCCCTGTGGTGATTGTGTACGGCCGGCCCCAGCGATCTCTTCCACGGCTCGGAATGTCCTTGCCTCCCGACTGGATAAGACCGTGTGAACACGATCGGTAATGGGACATATGCGTTGTAACATCATTTTCGGGCCGTCTTCCTTGATTGTGCGGAGGTTTAGTTATTCGTTCCGGGGGGGGGGGGAAAGAAAAAAAACACGCTTGAACTAAATAAGCGGCAGTAAGTACAGCGGGGAATTTGTTAAAAAAAACTGCTTAAGCCCCTGCGGTGTCTCGTCCCGTGCTGTGGCCGCGTAATCACTGCTGCGGAACAATCCGGCGTTTTGCAAACTCTGCTCCCGGTGCCCTCCGGCGTGCCGTGGAAGTCGACGTGCCGCTCGTTGCCGAGGTCCTCGGGTTCGAACCCAGGCAGCGGCCGCCCTGGTAAATACTGCGCCTGTGTCACTCGTGCAATCGTGCGCGCCGCCTGCTTCGGAGAGGACGTACGTGTGCACGTTGAACTTCTTTCGCACCGTACGTAGCCAACCGTGCGAATCGGAGGTGCGGGGGGGGAGGGCGACAGCGCTGCACGCAGAAAGATCCCCGTGGCGCTCTCCCACCAAGAGCAGGCCTATCCGTGGGCGCCGGCATCACGGTCCATTTGGCCAAGTTCGAATGAATTACTCGCAAATTACTTGTGTGGAAAATAAAAAAAACGCACAGCAACATTGCCCCTTGCCGGCAGACTCATGCCCGACCCGCAGGCCGCTACGTGCAGCACAGGGACAGTCGCTTCTGGTGGGTGCCCTTGGCGAGGCTGCAGCAGGGCATTAGGATGGTCGAGATGAGAAATGATGGAAGGTGCTTTGAGTTGCTGCTGAGACATTTGCACACCCTATGAATGCAAATACTTATCCTACACGTGCTCTTTATCTAATTTGTATCAATATGCATAGTACTGGTAAATGTAATTAGATAAAGCAGGCTCGGCGATATGGGGGGATGGGGGGGGCAACCAGAGGCGAAGTTTGAGAAGTCTGTGGCCTCGATGGTTTGGGTCACTCTCGGCAAGCGGAGCCATCGGATGTGGTGAACCGCCACGTTGGTCGCCACAAGCGGTGCAAAGTCGCCCGCTAATCATACGCGCTGCTCCTCACTGCTCGATTGGCTCACAAAGGCCACGCGATTACAATGCTTGCATGTGATTTGGCCGCATGCATCGTGTGCATGCATGGCTGAGCTTTCACATTCACGCAACGTGGTTTTATTACGGAATGTTCGAAACTAGCCGGATGGTTCGGTGTCGAAGTCAACCCGAACTGAACGTACCCACTCGTTCACCGTCGCACCCCTGGACAGTCGCACAGCGATAGAGTGTGCAGGCGGTGCACCTGCACCGGAGCCTACGGGGCCATGGAGGGCCCCGTAGGCTCCGGGGTACGAAGAGGGTGGGGCCCGTGCAACCCACTCTATGCGGCCGCCTCTTTTGTAACGCGAGGTTCTACTGCCAAAGCCAAGGGAGGTTAAAGCAAGATCAGTCGCTAATTGGATGGGAGGTGATTGAAATGAAAGCGGGGTGTTGGCGTGAAGTTATCTAAGACTTTGGTGGTGGAATTTTGTATGTGTGTACGTTGAACTTCTTTCGCACCGTACGTAGCCAACCGTGCTCATCGGAGGTGCGATAAAAGGACAACAAACTAGACACTGTGACTGATTTTCACAATTCTACATGTACATTTTTACAGACATATAAGGTAGTCCTGACAAATTTGAATTTTGTTTTGCCTTAACCAGCCAGCAGAATTTGCCCGGGTGGAAAAACATGACGATGTGTATTGAGCTCTTGTCCGAATCTCCAGTTGTTGTAACGTCTTGTACAAAAGTGCACCATTTGACGTCTGTAATGCTCAGCAAGGAGCAAAGACACGGTCACAAGTAATGGCGCAGCGATAGAGTGCGTAGGCAGTGCAACTGCACCGGGACACCAGCGTGCCCCCGAGGCCCATGCCAACCACACTACGAGAAGGTGACCCCTGAGCACTGTGAGCACTTTTTAGCTTTTGTCAGTTGCGTAAATAAACCGTCGCTCAAAACGATGACCCATGTACCCATGGATCTTCCCCTCGCCCGGCACTCTGAGATCTCCTCCACCCCTCCCCCGTGTTGCGCCCTGGCATTTTGTAGCCACAGAGGTGGCGGCCCCTTGCACGCATCTCCATGTTGTCGCCCTTTTGCCGCCCGCGACTGCGGCGCCTCACGTGGGCTGTCCCCCCACCTCCCCACCTGCCAGGCCGGATGGCATCGGAACGGTGATCGTGGACGAGAAAGAAACGTTCGAGGAGGTCAAGGAGCGGCTCCGTTGCCTGCTCGAAAATCAAATCACACACTTCCGGTGAGTGCCGTCTACGGTGGTGAGAGCGTTCCACATGGAATAAAACATATACGGAGCTTAGAGTGCGGAGCTTGGAGTGTCAGCTTCTCATATGCGTGGGTTTTCAATGGATATACACGCGGTTTCCGATGTATGACGGTCCACATTTACGATGTTGATATAACGCCTGCATGGATCGATTTATGATGCATCTTTCGACAAAACTCCGAACGCATTTGAACAGAGTCGGTCTGGTTTCTAATGTGACTTGGCATAGAGCTTTTGTTATTCTGTGCGCAGCCAACTGTGCTAATCGGAGGTGCGATATCAGTCCTGGGTCACCATTCCCCAACCTAAACTCACTGTTAACTGACCAACGTGGTCAGCTATGGTTAAACAAACCTCCCACGGCTGACGCGATGTGGGCAGGCCTTCACACACTGTGGATTTGTAAAGATATGTAAATGATTAGTGTTTATTAATTAATAGTCTGCTACACATACACAGTGGTACAGGGACTCAGTACTGATTACATATTTAAAGAGAAACACCACAGATGCTCAACCCTACTTTCCGATTCAAGTAATTCCAACATTGGGCACAAGGTAAAAGTTTTACAATGATGGAAATTGTGTGTTGCAATTAAAAAAATATTTGAAATCGTTTTTTTTTGTTCTATGATGTTTATTTATGTGCAGGCTCGGCGTGGTAGGACAATGTGGTTGGCATCAGCCCTGGAGCAAGGTAGCAGATAGGGCCCCTGCCTTCAGTTCTCCCCCCCTCCATCTCTTTCATGGGTTGGCGGCAGGGCTCCTCTGGCCCGTAGGCCCAGTGCAGTTGCACCGCCTGTACGCTACTCGGCAGCTACACCACTGGCATAGGGGTTGGCACACTTATCAATGAGGGTGGCAAACTGCAGGGATTTTATGATCTGACCCACACCTTCACGGAGTTGAGCTTGCTGCCATAGCAAGAAAAATCCAAACTAAACTATTATTCAGTTTAACACGTAGGCTTTCGCGACCAATATTATTCATGATAAAGGTTTTTGGGTTAGATCGCGTTTATTTATAAATGTGTCGTAACCCTCCACCACCCGACACGGCCAATCAGCAAAAAAAGTGTCACGTTGACAAAAAGACAAATAGTTCACTACTTTAGCCCACCGGTGTGTTGAAGAGTGAATCCACATTTACAGTTTGAGTACGACGTTTCGCTGGTAAATACATCCAGCATCATCGGGCAATTCGCCAGTAATCACCAGAATTGCCCGATGATGCTGGATGTATTTACCAGCGAAACGTCGTACTCAAACTGTAAATGTGGATTCACTCTTCAACACACCGGTGGGCTAAAGTAATGAATTATTTGTCTTTTTGTCAACGTGACACTTTTTTTGCTGATTGGCCGTGTCGGGTGGTGGAGGGTTACGACACATTTATAAATAAATGCGATCTAACCCAAAAACCTTTATCATGAATAAACTATTATTATTTAAGCAGGTAAGGCCCACTCAGCTATATAACTCTTTTTCAGAGACGACCTGGCCACAAATGATAGCTCAACGAAGTGGCTAATGACGTGGCCATTTATAACAGCCAAATCCACGCAAACACGGAGAGAGGGACATGCATACTCCGAATGTACAGCAGGCGTCAGGGTGGGGATCAAACCCACGACTTGTATACCAGACCACGTAAGTATAAATATGTCATAACCCTCCACCACTCGACACAGCCAATTAGTAAGGGATTTGTCACGTAAACAAAACGCCAATTAGTTTACTATTTCAGCCCACCGGTGTGTTGGAGAGTAAATCCACAACATTAACAATTTGAGTAGTACGACGTTTCGCTGGTGATTGCATCAACCAGCATCATCGGGCGATTTGCCACCTGGTGAACATCTCACCACCTGACAAGTGGACACGAAGGACCATGTGACGTCATTCATGAGAGTCGGCCACTGTGAGGCAGTTTTTTTATGCTGATTATATATTTTAAAATGATTGCCCTACATTTATAAAATTAAAAACTCGACAAATATAATTATTTCGTCATAGACTCGAATTTTGGACCTTTAGGTTTTGTAAAGCGAGTGCCACGCCTACCACAAAGTCAAGCCACATGGAAGTACGTCTCATCAGACCTCAGAAACTACGTGTGGTTGAACCTGGTTCGTACTTGCATGGCAGACAGCCTGGGATTACCAGCCATTGCTAAATGTGTTTTATCCACTCCTCTTCGGGGGCTCCGCCCACTCGCCCAACTCGCGTAATGGAATTTGTCCAAACCTTGCAAACGCTAGGAGCGCTCCTGAAAGAGAGAGGTGTGACACTTGGTGAGGCTTTCCTGGGTAAAGGAAGGGTGCCATCATCATCATCAATATATTGTGGCTGGCATCTCATGAATGCCGGAATGAGAATATATATTTATATTGGAAGCAGCCAATGAACTATCAAGCTCTTTTTCACGGATGTCCAGTAGGGCCAGGTCAGAACGTTACAACAAACAGTACAAAAAACACGATAGGAGTGCAAAGTATAGGAAAGGTAAACAAATCGCTTTAAAAATAAATACAAATAAAACGAAACAGTTTTTTTTTTTAAAATCTTACCAGGTAAGGCCCACTGAGCTATTAACTCCTGGCCACAGATGACAGCTCAACAAAGTGGCTTATCGTGTGGAAGTTTATAGCAGCCAAATTCTCTAAATACGCTGGCTGTCTCCGCCATGGGAAGGAGCAATGTTCAGCACTGGCTCAGGGCCACCGCCAGAAATGAGCAATGCCTCCGGCGTGCATTTTGCCACGGGGTGGGGGCGACGACACTTTCACTCTGGACTTACCGTTTTTTACTTGACGCAACAGCGACAGGAACAAGAACAGCAATTAATAACAATGTTTGCGAAATGAATTTAAAACGTCCCGTTTGGTTTCGTAACGAGCAGGAGTAAGAAGTGTTGGTGTGTCGAGAGGGTCTCTTACGACGTGCCTTGTGCTGCTGCTGCTGCGGCGACAAACAGACCTCCAGTCCCCTTTCCCAGGGTTTCTCTCTTTGTGATTTCACAGTTGGGCGCAGTGCGGGGGTTTTTGTGCTCCGCTTGGTTTCTCAATCTTTCCTTTTTACAAAAGCCAGGGAACATTTTTTCTCGGATTTGTTCTCATTAACTTCTCCTGGCTGCGTGCGTTTGTCAGTGGATGGGTTCGTCCTGAGTTCATTCTTTACCTAAATCTTTGCAGACTATAATCTCATAAGCCGGCTCCATTCACACACCGAAAGCGGCATGTGAATTTATCCCCCCCGTCGGCATAAAAACACTCATCACAATGGTCATAACAAAAACATTCACACGTCCTTTTATTTCGCCAGGTGAGAGACCCATTCAGATTCATTATCTCATTTGCGATGGAAAAAATAAACGTCTTCAAGCACAAAGTGTGCGAGAACAGTTTCATTCGCCCCCATGTTTTGTGTTTGTTTTTTTCCTTTTCTCCTTTCATATTTGGATATGTGTGGATTAAATCACCGGCGCGCGGGAACTGTGTGCCGCGCGGTCTTTAACGCGCGCTCCATTAACACGGAGAGGCTAGAGCTCCGGTAATCATCCGATGAAAATTCACGATCTCGTAGCTCTGTAACTCGTGCTGTTACACACCTTGCAGAGCGAGAAGAATCGAGAAGCGAACTTCACGTTCAGGCCCATCCCGCTGTCATCGCAATCGTGGTCATGTTAATCACCGCAAGACCACGTCTCTTATCGTTTTATTTAATGTATGTATGTTTAACTTCTTTTGCACCGTACGTAGCCAACCGTGCTAATCGGAGGTGCGGAGGGAAGGACAACAAACCTAACACAAAAAGCAGTTCTAAAGAAATGAGTTTACAAATTAGATTTAAAAGGGTATAGCTCCAGTGCATGACGTATTGTTATAAATACGTTGTATTATAAATACGTTGTATCATTATGGATACGTTGTGTTTATTAATGTGTTGTATTATTACATTGTATTATTATTATTCATAACCAAAGCACGTGCTCATTTAAGCACCGCAATAATTCGACAATGTAGCTTTACAACTGAAAAATGTCCTACGATAACATGTCTAATATTGCTTTTGTTTGCATATTTAGACATTCTATTTAATTCAACTAATTCCGCGTGCTCGCTTTCTTTAGATATTTTTTGTTTTTCATCAATCTGCTTGGAATTTTTTGACCATTCATTGTTTTGCACAACAGGGCTCCCTTGTAAAATATTGTTTCCGTGTGCTCTCATTTGGCTCCATTGATTGGTTTACTTGTTTAAATTTAATGGAATTCTCTGTTAGCTTAACACGTAGATCTGCATCTTGTCCTCAAGTTGCTTGGCCTAGTTTCAAGCGAAGCGTCGCGTATTCAATTTCCTGATAGATTTCATCGTGAGAATCGCCCTTCAACTTTCCATTGTGAGCTCAAACAATAACAATGAGCGCATTCAACTCTTGCTGCACGTGGCAACCTGATTTTGTTTGGCTGTGCCAGGTGGTGGAACGAATTACGGCACGTATTTACCCACATCGTTACGTGGATTAACCCAAAAAAAGTATCCATAATAGAGGTTTTTGGATTAGATCGCGTAAATATATAAATGTGTCGTTAAAACCCGCCACCACCCGACACAGCCAACTAATGAAGCTAGTTGCAATTACTGGCGAAACGTCGTACTCAGATTGTAAATGTTGTGGCTTGGCTCTCCAGCACACAACCGGAGTGCTGTACTAGTGACGAATTGGCACGTTCTGTTTACGTGACAACCCTTATTAGTTAGTGGTGGCAGGTTTACCGACACATTTATATATTTACGCGATCTAACCCCAAAAAAACTCCTCTATTATGGATGATATTGGTCGCGAAAGCCTACTACGTGTTTGACCACAACAATTTAATTTACGAATCTCAATTCTTCCTATTTGTTGTTGACTCATTGTTCTTTTTCGGCGAGTCCGACGGTTTCACCACCGCCCACCCCCCTCCCTCCCTCCGGCAAATGTTTGTCGGAGCGTTTTCGTTGTTTGGCGAAGACGCCCGGTGAGACGACGAGACACGATGGTCGTAATCCCTCGACTAAGTCCACCGGCCCGGGCCGCTATTCACAAGCGATAGACTCCGGCCGTGCTGGGCGGGAGCATCGCCTCCGGGGCTGACGCACTCCCGTCCTTGGCTGAACTCGCCGCTAAGGTAGTAGCAGCAGCAGCAGAAGAAGAAGTGTGAGAAGTAACGATACCAATGCACGCAACAACATTGATCTTAGGAGTGAGCCAGAGAGGGAGAGAGGTGCGTGGCTGGGTGGGCGTGAAGGTGGCTGGAGGTGCCTGCGGCTGCGTTGTTGTTGACGAGGCAGCGTATGCAACATTTCCTGAAATGTTGTTTTTATCACGCAAACCAGCCGTGGGGACCTCGCCTTAGCATACATATACACACACACTACGTTTTTACTATATATACACGTGCTCGCTGTCCTATTGGGAGACTGCAGCAAGCCATGGAACAGAGCCCTGAATGGGACTCTTTACGACGGCCGCCACTCTCCACTGGGACCGATTCGTTGGCCGTGGGCGAGCCTAATTCCGAGCCCCGGCTGAAAGGGGCCTTTCACGGGCACGCAGGCTTAGCCGTAGATTAGTCCATGTCATTTGAGATGTAAACAGAAGGGATTATGTTAATGCCATCGACGACAGCCAGGGGTCCGGCGAGAAATGATGAGGATCCTGGGCCGTTCCATTGTGAGTCCGAGGCTCCCCTCCCCTCCTCCGCTGATTAGGTGATAATTAGCACTGCCGAGGAGCGTCGCTCTCCTCCCAGAAAGCTCCACACTTCTCCCCACCTTAAGCAACAGCGCAGAGAGGACTGCGAGTGAACGCGTCCTCCGGGGGGGGGGGGGGCGAGCACGGAGGTGGCTGGAAGCAGGTTTTGGTCGGTTGGAGGTGGTGGTTTTCTTCTCTTTCTTGGCACTGGAGGTGGTGGAGTTGCTGGTGGTGGTGAAGGTGGCGTCACCCCCATAATTAGCCGTCGTGAAAAAGTGTTGTTTTTATCTACGCGCGAGATGGATGGAGTTTTGTGGCCTTTGTGTGTGCACGCGCGCAATATTTGCGGACGGGGTTGGAGCGTAGCGCAGCTCGCCCAGCCGACTGCTCGGGGTCGTGCCGGCCGGCGAGCGGCTGTCGGGGTTGGGAAATCATCAACGCGCTCCGGACGCTTGCCAGCGTCGAGCTTGATTGTACGGCTCCGATTTGCCGCACCTCCGATTGGCACGGTTGGCTACGTACGGTGCGAAAGAAGTTCAGCATGCATACATACATACAGCTCTTGAAGGCCTCCCTTACACTTTGTCGGACATGGCCGTTGTTTGTTTGGCCGTTGTTTGGCCGTTTGTTTGTCCATACTTCACCACTTTTGTTGTTAGCCCATACTTTACCACTTTGATTAGTGCCGGCTGGTTAAGTTGGGTGTCCCGTAACGTATCCAAATAAGATTCCCCACTGATGTTCACCCCGACCGAGATTTGTGTACTCAGGTATTCGGGGTCACAGCAGTGCACTCACCACTGAACCGTCTTCCGTATTTGTTTCACACACATACGGTGACACACGTGCGGCTACAAACGTACGTGTGATGCGAGCCAAACGCACAGACGTATACGTTCATTCAATTTAAAGTCATTATTTAATGCCCTTTGTCAATCCACTGCTGGATGAAGGCTTAGCCTTCCATCGCTCCAGACGATGGGGCTCTTCTGACCCCACTGGTCAGCTGGTGAAGGGGGGGGGGCGAGCTCCAGCCCAGACATCGCTCGCCGCTGATGTCAGCCGTGGCCGGGAATTGAACTTAGGTCACTGGGTTCAGTGCACTAACCACCGTGCCGCTGCTCTTCCCTACAGAAGCGTCTTCAAACGAAATTGATTCCATTGCTGGGGAAGGAAACGATATTTTTTTCCCGTGTGCCGCATTCAAGGTTGCACCGAGAGGTTGTTTACTACTCTGAAAATGAATTTGCTTCTGACAACAGAATAGAGTTCTGCCAAAGGCTGCCGCAGATCTCTCTTTGTCTGGGTGGTTGATTAACATCAGCTGGGTACAGACACCTTGCAGGCTGACACACTAACCTCTGGAGGGGAAATTGGCTTAAAACAACCAACTTTCTCATTACCGCAGGCATTATTTACTCCGGTCCCGTCAGCTCCCCTAAGGGTACAGCTTTGCATGTTTACCAATCAACAACAGCACTCGATGCAGATCAAGCTAATTCACATATCGATTGTTGCCTGGGCTACAGGGGGATAAAGAAGTTTGACAGTTTTGGAAAGATTCGTGATTTTGACCAAGAGTTACGTAGCTGATTAGGCCTTACCTGGTAAAATAAAAAAATGGTATAGCATAGTGTTTTCGACGTGCGCGTGAAATGTGCGTTGTGGGGAGCGGGAGTGTCGTGGTTAGCGCGCTGCGCTAAGAACCTGGCAACCCGAGTTCGATTCCCGCTCACGGCCATCATCGGTTAAGATTATCTGAACTGGTCCCGGGCTTTCCCCAGATGGACTCAGCCTCAAATGAGTACCTGGTGTGGTGTGTAGTAAACGTCGTCACTGGGGAGACAAAGGCAGCCGGGCGTGGTGCTGGCCACCCTCCGCATCGTGTGCTGTGCCGACCTCCATAGGTGCTGCTCGCTAACAGCACTTGCCCCAACAGTCTGTTCAGGCTGTAAAGGAGGATCTTTGTGTTTTTCTTATAGTAGACTATGACTTGTACTTTGTGATAGTATATACATACAACTCTTAAATGTATCATTGTTGCCGTGCGCTGTCAACAGTAAACGCTTGAAATGCATCATATAAAAAAAAATCAATTTAAACGAACTTTTGTACGTGAATAAAAATGGTGACAAGTGACCTTGCAGGTGACTCAATTCGGATCACACATCGCAAACATTGCCCCCTGCTATGAGAACGTTGTCTGGAGGCAGGACCCACCTGGCAGGAGAGTCACGAGACTCAATGACGCTTTCCTGGGTAAACAAGCATCGTGCCTGATGATGAACGCTTGTGTTGCGCCCGAAACGTCGTGATTTATTTTATTTTATACCTTCTACGTGCCTTTACCGAAAGAACCAAAGAGGAAGCATCGTAACGGTGATAATAAACTAAACTAGAAACTTTTATTTTACCAGGTAAGATACGCTGAGCTGTATAGCTCCTTTTCAGAAGCAACCTGGCCACAAATAATAGCTCAGCGAAGTGGCTTATCACGTACAAATGTATAGCAGCCAAATACTGTTAAACGCGTGATGTTAATTCTAAACCATAACGACGACGTGATTGATGCTCTGTCCACTATTTGCGTTTTGTGTCGTGCAGGTATTGCTTCCCATTTGGACGACCAGAGGGGGCACTCAAGGCCACGCTTTCTCTTCTCGAGCGGGTAAAGTCCAAACTCGCAGCCCTAGCAAGGCGGCCAGCAGATGGCGATACAGCACAGGATTCTTGAATATATCTGTGCGGAGCTTTGAGTGTTCCCTCCCCCCCACCCCCCCTCGTATGCATTGGTTTTCACCAAGCACTCCAGCTTCCTCCCGCACGCCAAACATCCGTAGGATTGGCCAAACGTTCCAAGCGCGTGACCCTCTTGAATCAGAGTCTTGAGACTTTCCTGGTAAGTAAATATGATCATGGCCGCCACTCACAGGAATAACGGCGGAATGGAACCCGCCCGAGAGGGGTTCGTCCACCGAGCAGATGAAGCGACGAAGTCGACTCGTTCGCGCGTGGATCAATCCAGCGCAGGAACCGTGAGAGGCGGCGACAGTTCGAGGAACTGGCACCCTCATCCAGCAGCGGGTTGATCGTGCGTGCTCGCGCTGTTGACGATGACGCGCGTAATGCCCTGCAGGTGCTCATGAAGGACATCGTGACGCCCGTGCCGGCCGAGGAGGTCAGAGCTGTAATCCAGGTGTGTCTGGAAAAGGCAGCGCTCATCAACTACACCCGCCTCTCCGAGTACGCCAAGATCGAAGGTAAGGCCTGATCCTCCTTCACCTTTCCAGGTGCCACCTCCACGCAGCTCAGTCCTCTTCCCCACAAATGTTTGTGCTAAATATTTTGTTGTTGTTCTGGATTTGTTGTCCACTGGCCTCCTGGTTTTCTTCAAGGTTGTCATCTGGTTGCAATGTTTCCAGAGTTTGCTGCCGCTGGAAGATGACTGCATCTGAACGTTGTTGGTCATGTGTGGTGTGTGCGGGCGATTCATTTTTTGGAAAACGTTGCTGCTGCTCCTGCTGCTGCTGCAGTGTGTCGTGTTGCTAACACGTCTGCATCAGTGACGAATGTCTAAAATGACCGTTGTGAATAATCACGGAACCTTTCACGTGGCCTGCTGATTGTCTCGCGAATGTCTGTTAGGTTACGTCATTTGATGTCATACAATTAATGAAGATCCCGGCATATGCGTGTGTGCGTGTCGTTTTTTTGGCGTAAAAATTGATACCAGCAAATGCAACGTGTGTGCTTGTTGGGTGCAATACTCGGCCTGGGGAAACATCTCGGGGAGATGCGTGGCACACTGTTCATATGCAACGGCAGGCGCATGGGTTTGAACCTAACGGCGCTGTTCGTAAAAAAAAAATCTCATCAAATCAAATCTGGAATATCTGAGCCAGTTTGATGACAACACCTGGCACACATATACCTGAAAGCACTGCGCGTGTGTTGCCAGAGATACGGAGAGAGAGAGAGTCTACAGAGTGGGGACTTTAATCTTTTCGCCATTTCCTTGGAACGGTGTGAATTCTGATTTGTTGATCTTGCCCAAAGGCATGTAAGCAGAAATCGCAAAGTGTCTTCAGACTGTAAACACCAGCTGTGCCACAGATGGAGAATTATTCACAAACATTTCCTTTAACCCCTTCACACGAATAAACAAAGTAGCAATAATCGCTGTGTGAGCGACGATGATTTGAGATGGGCCGCGCTTGCGTTTGCACTGCCTGTTACGTTTATTTAAGATTTAAGATGTCCCGCTTATTGTGTTACTTTTCAGTTTTGCTTTTGTTAAAATTATTATGTCTTGTACGCCTTTACAATCCTTGTGTTTGTACACCTTTTTTTTCTCTTGATGCATTCACACGGGCTTTAAGGTCCGATTACTTCTGTACAGCGTTTACACGTATATTATTATTTCACTATTTTTCTATCTACGTGACTTTACCGAAAGACCCGAAGAGTAAACAGGCAACATGTGTGCATGCGGTGTTCATCTAACAGACGTGCACAGCTGGTAAACTCGGGTCAAGGAGAGGGGTGAGGCATTTCCCTGATGTTTATAAAGCACGTTTCAGTTACCAAGTTACATGACGCGTTTTGTCAGTGTATCATATTTTCAATTAATTTCCGTGGCTTTGAGTCAGGCTCAATTAAAATATTTCGTTAAGGTTAACATCGGCCCTTTAGTTTAACGTACCAGTTTATAAGTAGCTTACGGCTAAAACAACTTTCGCATAAGCTAAGCAATATACAGGACGGGTATGTTTCTTGGATACATTTCTATCTTATTAATTTTAATGTGGAATCCAAAGGTATGTGAGCAGGTGTAGTGATGAGCAATACTCCAATGCCATTCTGGTGACCTGGGGCTCAATTCCTGTGCATCCGCACGAGTGGTATTTTATACGCATATTGTAAACGCGAAGCGGGACATCGGCCTCCTTTTAAGTCGACTCGGCCTTAAATGAGTAGCTGGTGCAATGTGTCAACACCGACGCTCGGGCGATGCAGGTTGCCGGGAAACGGCGGTGCTGCTGTCGCCAAATCTCGAAGTGTCGGCCTGAGTCAGCACTCGCTAACATCACTCGCTCTCACTGTCTACCGGTGGATCATTGCGGCGTGTGCGTGCGTGTGTGTGCGCGTGTTTTTTCCCCCATTCGCGTATATATTCACTTGTGACGTTCCACGAGGTTCACCCAGCCTCGCACGAGCGCTGCGGTTATGTCACGGCCGCTCAGCGGCGACAACGGCTGCTGCTGATGTTTGTTGTTGTTGTTATGTAAGTTTGTTGTTGTTATGTAAGTTTGTTGTTGTTATGTAAGTTTGTTGTTGTTATGTAAGTTTGTTGTTGTTACGTAAGTTTGCTTAACCTCGTCTCCCAGCTCTCCTTTCCAGGCAGAGCCCTCGCGTGATGGCAGATTACGGAAGTTGCCCGCGCTCACATTCCCTAGGTTCACGCGACCAACTTGCATTGATCGAGATGCAAAAGGCCGGTGCATGAAGTCGCAGTGCGTCGCTTTCAAAACGGCTGCTTATCCAATAACAGATATGTCGTGGTCGGCGCACGCACCCGCTGTAAGCAGCAGGGACATAACAAACAAAAAGAATCCAGGTGCCGCTTCTCACATTCCGATCGCCAGCTCTGTGGCGCGTGCTGTGCACCGTGACGGCACAGGTCTTCGCAGCCATGCCGTGAAGCTTTCCTGTGCGAGGTTGGGTTGTCCCGCGTGTTGTTCCGTACGACGTCCGACGTTTCGCCCCCCCCCCCCCGATCCCCCCTTCCCCCGGCACGTGTGGTGTTGTCGGGCGCCACGTCCAATCAGACACGCGCTTGGAACTGAAAACCAAATGGGAGAGCGATGTAAGCCGTCGATTTGAATGAATCTGATCCGACCTCAAGAGTCGCGTGAATCTAGACTATGTGAGCCAAATCGTTGCCCCCCGCTGCCACCGCCACCCCTGCCCCCCAGAGTTTGACTTTGACACGGCCACATGACCGATGGCTTCGGGGGGGGGGGGGGGGTGTAACGCTGAAGAGTGAGTCGCGAGTGCAGATTTCCGATGCTGACACTGATGACGATCACAATGGCGAACACGACATTGTGACCCGATGCTCATTTTGTCTTTCATTCGCCACTCAGGGCTCCAGTTTAATTTGAAGCAATTGTGGAGTTTTTTTTTCGTCTTCTCTTATTAGCCTTTTTTTATATAGTGTATCTTTTTTTTATACATGTGTGTGTATATTTAACCTTACGTTTTTTATTTGTGCTCAAAGTAAAAATGCATTCACATTGTCGCTGTACTGGAACGCGTTCGACGGCCACTGCCCCGTCGGCTTTTTCCGATTGCGCTGCCGGTCAGGCCTTGGACTCTGTCTCACGGGGAAGGGTTTCCTCCTGGATTCGTACGGCCTCCTTGCGTTAGGTCACCAGGTTAGTGGGACTACGAAGTTAGAGTTACCATCATTATCACCTTTGTTTGTCAGCATGTAAAACTATAAAAAAAAACTGTCAACTTTTTATTTTACCAGGTAAGGCCCGACCTGGCCACAAATGATAGCTCAACGAAGTGGCTCATTATCACGTGGAAATTTATAGCAGCAGCCAAATACTCTAAACGCACGTGCTGTTGATTCTAAATGTGCCCATAGAGAGAACATGCAAACTCCAAATATACAGCAGCAGGCATCGTCAGGGTCGGGATCGAAATGACGACCTCCTGTATACCAGGCGAGGTAGTTAACATCTCGCCCCTGTTGGGACAACGTGACTTAGACACGTATAAAATCGTATTTGGACTGGATTATAGTGAGTAAAGGTGTGTAGCGTGCCATCCATTGCCACTCAGAAACCACAGTCATGTTCATGCAGAGCTTACACAAAGTTTATTTTTTTTATTTTTTGGGTTGTGTATAATTAAATACCTCGTAAAGTATTATCTTAACCAAGCCACTTTGTTCCACTTAAATTTATTTTTCACATATGTGCGCATCTATATATATATGCATACACATATACACAGCAGTATTTGCCCATGAAATTTAAGGATATATTTGTCCCGTCCTCTATAAATAACCTAAACATGAACGTTTCACGTGCGCACACACGCATGTATGCTCACATGCACGTGTAGACATGCGTACGCTCGCACAGACAGCGTGTGTATTTTGCTCAGCCGAGATGCTCGTACCAGCTGAGCCGGCTATTTGCGAGCGGCCACACGGGGTTTTGTGTAAGGGCGAAACACGTGTGAACCTTCTACGCGTTCACATTTGCCAATATTCCGCTTTGGTTTCCGAGGCAGTGCGTCCCCCGCTTGGCTGTCACCGCCTCTCTCTCCCCGTTTGGTTGTGAAGTGCCTCACGGTACACGGCACCGGTTCTTTTCTCTTCGTACATTCACCCACCCTACCCACCCACCGCCAGCGATTGTGTTTCCGTTCGTTCTTTTTACCGTCTCATGGTCCGGTCATCAACATCGGCTGCAGAAATTCAAGCGCGTTCCTCCAATGATCCCTGAAACCCAGTTTTTGGAAACCTGACCCCCCTCACCTCCCTCACCCCTCCCCAAAAAAAACTTGACTTTTATGCCCGTCCCCACTGAACCTTGAATTTTAACCCCCTCCTGACCTTTCAACCTTGACCCCTTGACCCTCACGCTGCACTGAACCATGCCCGTGTGACCCTCGAATGTTCCCCTCCCTGCCCTCACCTTGTTTCCGCCGCCCCCCCCCCCTTCTCGGCTTGTAACCTTTGACCTGAGCTTTCTTGCATGCCGCCCTTTGTTGTAATCCTCCTTTTTTTGTAGGGAAAAAGAGGGAAATGTATGAACACCCAGTCTTCTGCTTGGCCTCCCAAGTGGTGAATTTAACCATTCGTGAGTACTAACATACTCTTCCCTCTCAGTGTCTGCAAACAAACGCAGTGCGGGCCTCCGTCAGGCGTTTCGGTTTGACCTTTGAGTTCCTTCCTTATTTTCCGTGCTTGGGTTAAATGCGAGCCGGGGGCATTGGGCAGGTAGCGGAGAGTAGCGCGGGATTTTTTTGTTGTTGTTGTTGTCGCCGCGTGCACCGCATATCAAGGGGGGCAGCCAAAAGGGGCGCCTGTAAAGCAAGAGGCGGAGTTGATGGCGACGGTGGTGACGGGTGGGCGAGGATTTGGAGCAGGCTACACACCTCGCTGGGGTTAACAACTTCCACGGAGTCAATCTGCAGGTGATAATCCGGCGCTAAAATCTCCGGCAGTCGCGATCCGGAAATGCTAAAAAACAAACGCACGACGTTTCCTCCAGGAGCGGTGCGTTCACGGGTGATTCATCCTAATCGGGAATCGCATTAAAATAACAGTAATCCCGTCGTACGTTCATTCTCGATTTTTTATTACACGTAGGCAAGGTGTTGATGCATATAGAGTCATTTTTAGATATCTTTCTCAGCGTATAATTACATAGTTGTAATGACAAATGCTAAAGATTCGCTTTTTTGTTGTTGCTACTTGTGACTCAAAATCTTGCTCTGCATCCATAAAAAAACATTCTAATTGGTCAGTTGTTCCCAAAACTTAAATTCAAGACTCAAGATATTTTATTAGAATTTTTTATATAAAAGTTGTAATACCCAATAACGAGAATTTGTTGGATGTAAAAATTCACCTGACATTTTGGCAATTGTTTAAAAAAGAATAGTTGATTTGGATGCTTGATTAAAAAAAAAAACTAAACATTTTAGTCCTTCCTATAGCACTGTACAGAATGACAATATGCTTCAACGAACTTAACAAGCTTCATCAGGAGAGCAGGTTCAGTAAAGGGTTTTCAAGTTGGCAATACAAATGTAACAGTTTTGACCGAGAGGCCTAATTCAGCTGTAACAGGCCAAGGCTGGATTTCTGGGTTAACTGAATACATCTTCCTAAGCAGCCATTTTTATTTTCCACAACTTCCCTCTAAATAGAATTGTCTCCACCACCTCCCACCTCTACCAGCTCCCTCGCCTTTCCCCTTTGAGTGTCTGCGACGGCAGCGAGAGTCACGATCAGCGCGGAACCTACCCTCCCACTTCTCCCGTTACTTTCCCTTCCGCGCCTGTCCCCAGACCTTGCTTTCTGCCCTCACCAAGTTAAAATCCTGCACCGGGTCCCCTTGCCGCCTTCTCTCTCCAACCAACCCGGTCGACCTCCGTCTCTCTCCATTTTTTTTGTGCATGGGTCTAGAGAGACTACGTTCCTTGCAGGTTGCGTGCGCACTTGATATTTCGGAACGCCTTCCCACTGGTCGATTGTGCATGCTGCATATTGGGCGAGTGCACCGATGTCGCTTACTCTGGTGTCTGCGCGTGTGTGCGTTTGTGCGTGCTTGAGCTTTTGCGTGTTGCGCGTGCTACCTGCTGGGTTCACAGTTGTAAATATTTTAGGCGAGTGGCCATTAGACAATGAACAGACCGTGTGTGCATCGGTCAGAACAGGAGTAGCGGAATCCACGTGTGCACATTGTCATAAGCCAACGATTTTTAGTCTGCCAATCGTTAATGGTTGCGCTTACGTCCGACATGGCAGGCACCCGTGGCATCCACAGGTGAGTGCGTGAGTGAAATGTCACAGTCAAAGTCAAAATAAGTAGCTGACGAGCAAGCAAGAGAGGGGACGAGCAAGCGAGGCAGCATCCCTGCTGAGCGATCTCAGCTATTGGAATGTGTTTGGTGCACAAGAAAAGACATAGCACCACTCCTCAGGCAATACTTAACTACATACTAACTCAGGTAAACCATCAGCTCATTTTCTTGGTTCTTTCGGTAAAGTCACGTAGAAGGGAAACAATAAAATAATAAAAATATAAAACATTAGCATTTATTTTTATTATTTTATTGTTTCCCTTCTACGTGACTTTTCCGAAAGAACCAAGAATATGAATCCCTGCAGTCACGAAAGCTTTAAATCAAAATTCATCAGCTCATTGTGAATCCACTGCTAGATAACTAAACTAAAACTACACTCTTTATTTTACCAGGTAAGGCCCACTGAGCTATATACCTCTTTTTCAGAAGCGACTTGGCCACAAATGATAGCTCAACGAAGTGGCTTATCACGTCGAAATTCATAGCAGCCAAATACTCTAAAACGCATGATGTTGATTCTAAATGTGGGGGGAAAAAACTGGAGGACCCGGAGGAAAATCTACGCGACCCAAAGTAGAACATGTAAACTCCGGATATACAGCAGCAGGCGCAAGGGTCGGGATCGAACCCACGACCACCTGCATACCTGGCAAGGTAGTTAACATCTCGCCACCGAGGCTGTTGTATAAACATCGCACACTATGTTGGTCATTTGATATCCTCTTATGTAATCTCGGGGTTTCTCCTGCTACTAATTCAAGTTTCCTTCCATGGAAATTGCCATATATCCTCTTTGCAGGATTTGAATGAAAAAGAGCCTTCTAATTTGGTGACTTTTTATGGATAAATAAATTGTTTTCCACTCATTACAGCAGTGAAGAGTTGCACATTTAAAAAAATTTATACTTTTAGAAGTGTTAATATTTACACTTGTATCGTAGCATAGCGAGAGAGTGCGACAGATTGGAAGGCCTTCATCCAGCAGCGGAGTGACCATGGCCGATGAGTAATCATCGTGAATAACACGTGAAAAAGCGATAATAAAGCCGTCATCCGATGCACGTCTGTAATCTCGGCAAGGTTTTCACGGGAGAAGATAATGGTTTTATTCGCCGCAGCAAAGCAAACCAAGTCTTTGTGGCCACACTCGCGAAGCCCTCGTGACGGTAATTCTGAAAGTGACATCGGGAAGATTTACACTCGGATTGTCGACGTGTGAAAGCGTGGAATGCTTCACCAACCAAAAGGGTGCTAATCTGCTGGGATATTGCCCCGAAATCGCTTTCAATCCACCACAAAAATACACCGGAGCATTATTTTCGCGCATTTGTAAATGGATGCATACGGCCAAATTTTGCTTAATGTTCTGCAAAAAGTCGCTGGTATTTCAGCTGACACGTGATGTACACGACATTGTTCCAGCGACGTGAATTGTGGTTCCGCCATGGTGAGACGCAACAATGTCGATATTTCGCTGTTCTATGTAGGCAATTATAAATGTTGCTTAGATACGGGGGGTGCGCGAGTGCACGCAGTGTAAGCCGCAGGTGTTTCTCATCTACGCTGCTTATACTCGGCCGGTTTGCCCGTTCGGCAAACGTCGTCGGTGGCAGTCGAGCAGTAGTGTCGTCATCGACCGTCGCCCGGTGTCGGTTGCGCTCCGAAGGCATCGCTTCCCCGTCTCCACAATTATCCGCTCGCCTACCTAAGTGGCGCCATCGCTGCCGTAGCTTTGCCGGCGACTGCATCCTGTTCCCACTGACCCCCGAACTCTGTGTCTTTGTCCGCATTTTTTTTTCGTCCTGTCCTGTCCACAGTTTGTCGTCACTGGGGACGAAACATCGTCGCGACACTTTGTCCGCTGCGTTGGAACATGAATGCATTTTTACTTTGTCGGTCGTCCATGCGTTTGAATCTTTTGCTCCAGTTCCTGACGGAGCAGGTCAGCCGTGTTTGTCGCGATCTCCTTCTTTCTCGCTTTATCTTCTTTTGTTTCCCGTTCTCTTCTTTTTGTTGTTGTTGTCGCTGTGATGATCTGTTGAGAAAGGGAAGCCACTCTGTGCTTTCGTGTCCTTGTGTGTTTGTGCGTGCGTGGGCCTGTCTGTCTTGTCTGTTTGTTGCAGAGTTTGCCGCCCACATCCTCCCATTCCGTGCGCTAAGCGTTTAACGAGCCATTTCAGATCCAAGCAGTCGTCCCGGTGCCGTTTGCAACTCTTAAAAGGGCAAAAAAACCCAAACAAAACAAAGCACAGAAACTCCAAAAGGAAGCCATGAACATTGAAATGTGATTTCTCCCCTGTCCCAAAAGCTGCCTTTATTTCCGTGGTGTCGTTCGTGCTGCGCCGATACCGTGCGTGGTTGCGTACCGGATTGACCATGCGCATGCGTGCTTCCTTGGTGTCACGGCGATGGTGTTTGTGCCGTGACTTTGTGCCGCTAACGTTGTTGTTGTTGTTGTGCTTTCTGTGTCTCTCGCAATGCATGGGCACAGCCAACTCCTAACTAACGGGGGCTTCTTCTTACGCGTGGATTACATTTTTCTGATGATGTTTTGTTTTTGTTCTTCTTTGGAGTGTGCCGTGCCGTGAATTAACACCGTCTTTGTGTGTATCGCTTTCCTTTCCTTCTCTGCCTCCTCCTCCTCCTCCTTTTCTTCCTCCTCTTCCTCCTCCATAATTAATTCAACAAAATGACAAAAAAAACCCAAACCAAAAAAAAGCCACTCCGAAGGATTCAGGTGAACGGCATCTCAGGCGCTTAAACGCCTGCGATGTTTTCGCGATTGAAACGAGCGCGCTCAGCCGGTCACCCGCACGGGAAACTCGCCGATTGGGCACATGCCGCTGTCATCCACAGACCCCCCCCCCCCCCCCATACGTAGTGCCGGCTATCGGGCGAAGTTTTTGGGACAAACGCTTAAACGTTTCGGCCGGGCGAATGTACGCCGCCAATTGTTTTTCCTCGTTCGGTGTTACGTAGGTGAGAGACACAGCCCCTGAAATGTCTCGCTCACGCTCACTGCTGGCGGAGGGGCCTCCACTAGGGGGGCGCTCCGGAGAGAGCCTCGCCCGCAGAGGGTATTTGGTCGACGGTTCCACACCGGCCCAGGTGTGCTGTCGAAGAGCGGATGGAGTACCCACATTTAACAACCCACCACAACTCTTTGGTTCTATTCGGTAAAGTCACGTAGGTAAAAAATAAAATAACAAAAATCACGACGTTTCGGCCACAACACAAGCAACAGACAAACAGCAAATTATCGAAAGTTTATACACAGCTCTTGCAAAGTTTCCACGATCGTCGACTCGACGTCCACGTGTCTCGCTGCTCAAAGCCGGGTCGGGCGGCAGCTGCGTACTTTAACGGTGCAGCGACGGCAGTGGAAAATCCTCATTCCCGTGGCAGGGGGAGCCACTTGGCCGATAAGACACAGCGCTACCAAGGTGCGCTATGCCTCCGACCAAATAGCCGTGACTCCTCGATGTCGCCGTATCGCGGACGATGAACAGGCTGAGCTTCTTCAGTACTTGGATCGGGGGACTGATTGGCGATACTGCTCCAGCTGTGTGTTTGGCTGAGGCTGCAAAGTGACCAGGATGTGGCGGTACATCATTCGATGTTTTGCTAATCCATCCGTGCAAGGCCGTTGAGTGATGTCCCTCTCACACACGTGGTGACTTATCTCCGGGTGCTCCCCTCTCCGCCCCACACGCAACCAAACGCCCTTGAAAGGAATTTGGCCAAACATCTCAGTGCGGGACTGTCCTGCAAATTGGTGCTGAGCCGAAGCGAGGCTTCGTTATCATAACATAACTTGCATAAATTCATCCTGACATAATGTTTTTTCTGCAGACATTGGCACAACAGTTTCTGTAGATGTCCATCCTGTAATAATTTCACGAATTTGAGTTTTTTTGAGACGTATCACTGGCCTCTGGTATTTGTGACTGAGCAGATGTTAGCAGAGCTACACACGTGCTTCTAATTAAGCGGCAGTGAAAGTAATATAAATTAAGCGGTTTGTCTCATAAACTTGCATCAATGGTCTTTCTAACGTCTCATCGGCATTATCTGTGTTAACTTTTTAAAATGTTCCAAATTCTAACGTTCCAAGGCCTTGTTAGCGCGACAAATTGAACAATCTACGTTTAAAGTGCGTGTCCATGCGTCGACTGGCACAGTGCCATAATCCTGTGTTTACTTGAATCGATGGACGTGAAAATGGACAAAAGACCACTGCTACCGCCCCTATCCACAGCACAACTCATCCCCGCACGCAAGATGCCACCGGCTCTCTCGCAATCGACACAGCAGTGCTGCACCAACACGCGCTCCATGGCTTTTGCATCGATGGCACCGCTATCACGAGCGCGCTCAAAACACTGGGGGCCTCACAGTTGCTGCCTCACTTGCCGATCGTAGGGGTCTCTCACGATTTATTAATGTAGAGCCATTCCGCGCATGAAGTGCTTACCCAGTCCTTTATGAACCGCTTGCAATATTGACGCTTTCACGCGTTAGGCTGTTGCAGTACAAGCAGCCCCCCGGCTGGTAATGGTTTTTTAATGTATGGAATGGAGCATACCAGCCCGTGGGTTTATGTTTTGTGATATTTTCAACCGTCGAGGTCACGTGATGGGACGTGAGGTCCTGTGCACCACGTAACTGCATGCACCCTAGTAATGCATCCCAGTTGTAGAATGACAAGCCTTGTGTGGTCATTACCGGTCAGGAGATGAACTCCTGAATGTATACGTTGAAATACAAGTTAAGTGTTTAACAATTGGTCTCTTTTATTTATTGGGTATCGTACACTTTACATTTATCGTCCGGTAAAACGTCGCTGTCTTCACGCTATCTTGCTGTCTTGTCGATTGTGCTTCGCCCAAGTAAGATATTTCTTTCGTGCTATAGCCAGTTTTAACCATCGATTTCAAATAATTTCATGTCCTTGTTTACGTTCCATGGTTGGTTTTATGAGTTCATCGAACATTGCATTATTTAGATGTTTATTCTACATTTTCATCTGGCTGTTTTCTGTTGTTTCACTCTGCGCATGTGTGCATGCCCACACATATTCGTTACACATGCGTGCGCGTGTGTCTCTGTGTCTGTGTGTGTCTGTGTGTGTCTCTGTGTGTTTCTGTGTGTCTTTGTGTGTTTGTGTGTCTCTGTGTGTCTCTGTGTGTCTGTGTGTGTCTCTGTGTGTCTCTGTGTGTCTCTGTGTGTCTAACCCCTTTCTGTGCACCGCCACGTGCAGTGGCCCGCCGACGCGCTGCTCACAAAGCCCCCACGCACCCCTACAGACAGAATAGAGCCTCCATCCAGAAGATTCCTCTGCCCAAAAACATGCAAAGTACTGAGCACCTATCACGATACTCTCCTCCACAGTGAGGCCACGCTGACACGAGAACCAGGCTGGGTGGATCCAGAGTAAAGTTAATCGTAACAATCATAATAATAATGATAATACTCAAATCAGAATCCTAACGCACTTCTCAACAGCCATCGATATTGACATTGGCGCCGAATGTCAGCTTTGGTTTGAGCGAAGCATCAAAGCCAGAGGCTGGTGGGGGCTGGGCCCCGCTCGTGAAAACATTTTTAAAAGAAAAAACGAAACTGACCTGCTCATAAAAAATTATAAACCGCGTACAAATCCCTTCCCCTGCTCGTCCAACGCCTTGTTCCCACCACCCCTGGGCTTTTGTGCCCCACGTCTCCACTGCCCCCACTCTTTACCTACCGACCCGGCACTGATCAAGGACACGGTGCCTGACTTGAGAGGGGTTCCGATCGGCTTCATGGCAGAGTCAGGCTTCCCCCCCCCCCCCGATCCCTCCTTTGGATGTAATCGAGGGGGGCGCAGAGTGGTGGTGATCGTGGTGGTGATCGTTGTCTTCGGCAGCACGCGGAAGCGACGACACCAGATGTGCAAACAAACGAGCAAAAACACATTTGATGAATCGATGAGTTTGGTTTACAAATTTCTCGCGGACGTACATATCGTTCAAGTTGTTAAATTAATTGTTTGCCGTGCCTAACAACTGGCTGATTATTTAGTTGTATTTTAACTTTGAAAGCCAATGCTGTTCATCCCAGCTTTGTTCTTAAGCAGGCAGCGTGTCTGTGTGGCCCTGGCTAATAAGCGTAATGAGTCCGTATTTAATTGCCTGAGCTTAGAAGGAATGCTTCTTTTAGATTCTGCCCATCCCTTCTCCTGTAAAGCATGCCCCTGCTGAGTAATAGTGACTTTAGAGCCCTAGGCTAATTGCGTAATAAATATACAGGAATGGCCGGTGGGGCTCTAAGCCTCTTGAGGCTTAATAACTTAATAGCATTGCAGGGTAGATGTTACCAGTGAGAAAATTTACAATCAATATTATTGAAATTTTTAAACACCGAGTAGAGACCTGTTAACAACTATCACGATGTACGGAATTTTACGAGCGTACAGCTGAGACGCATGTCATATTTGTCAACGGGCGTTTCCCAAGCCGCGCGCGGCCCAAGCGCGGCTCATCCGAGGTCGGACCGCGCGTCTGGGCATTCCCCCTCTCGAGCCTTCCCCGCGGACGCCTGCGGGCGCCTCCACCTCACCAGCTGGAGCTGCCCCGCAGGTCGCTCGCGGCCAGCGCCCGAGAGGCGCGGAATGCCCTCGACGCGGAGGGCCCAAGCGGGGATCCCGCGCCGGGGGATTCGCCTACTGTGTGTTATGTAAAGACGATGCTGAGTACTACTACGCTCGGTTGAGCACGTGAACGCACGTGCATTGCTGTAACAGCTCAGAACTATACTCCACACTAATTTCTCAAACCGAAACCTCCAGGCCACGGAGTTGAGATTTCACATGGCGCATGCGGCCTTGACTTGCGTAATGCTCACTCGGCCTCGTCAGCCGCCTTCGGAGCCACAGATAAGACGTCGGTGGACGACGGTAAATCCTCGTCCCCGACTGCGAGGAATTGCCGAGGAATGATCGTAGTCGTTGCCTGTGAGGGCTTAGATCAGTTTCAGGCTGCAGGCTCTCCTTTAGTTGCCTTTGTCTCCCGAAAAGCAAAAGAGCGCGTCGATGATGTCCCCGCTCAAATGAGCATCGAGGCATCTGTGCTCGACCTGCTTACTTGCAGCCCTGAGCCAGTGGTGAAAATTCCACATTCAAACCGCTGTTGGCTTCCCTGCAAAGCGGTGGCTTCTCAACCTCCGGATTGTTCTGCCGCTGAGCCCTCCTCGCCGGTTGTCTCTGAACCCCCCCCGCTACCCCCCGTCTTCTCGTGGTGCCCCCCATCTCTTGCTGTCCCATCACAATATCAACAAACATCTTCCCCAGTGTGTGCTGTCTGTCCTTCCATCGGAATGAACGTCGCGTTCATTCGCTTTACGTTTTTTTCACAATTTCACGTCGCGTGTTTTTTTCTGCGATGGCGTAAGCACGGGGAGCCACAAAACACCTCGAGGAGACGCTCGTGAAGCAAAGAGGTTTATCGCGATCTGCCGAACACGCGTGAAAGAATAATTACAATACCCGCGGTGTGCACTAACGAACGCGTGGCGAAACGGCGTCCGATCGCTGACAGCGTTTGAGAAATGCGTCGCGAAGCGGGGGGCTTTACCTGCCGAACGCTTCGATGGGCTTTCTTCTCTCGAAACTCAGCGCAATTCTTCATTTTGCACGCGTCTTGAAAAATCCCAAGCATGACCGGAGGAGTCGCCTCTTTATCTTGCATGAATTGTTCCCGCAAACGTGTTTATTGTTCGTTCGTTCCCCCATTACCTTTCGCCCACCTAATGCGGAGATCGCGTGCAGTTGCCGGCTCGTTGTGTTCATGGGGGAATAGATTTCTCGCTTGCGAAGGAGCAACGATGACATTTCTGCTTACGTTTCGCAGTTTGTATTCCTTACTAACCGTTGTACCTCTGCCCTCTCCCCTACTCGACAACAAACAACAACATCTGCAACATCGACAACAACAACAACAACACGCAGAAAACATAGGGCAACTCGTGACTCCTGCGAAGAAACTGGAGGATGTCATTCACCTCGCCGAGTTGGTGATTGACGTCCTGCAGCAGAACGAGGAGCACCATGCTGAGGTGACGCTCTCCTCGTGCTCGCCTCCCGCCAGCCCTTCAGTTCCCTATTCACATTTTCTAGATCTGCTGCATGGGAGACCACAAAGTGGCATTTGATGAGTAAGCTGCAGCCAGAGCGAGGGGTGCACGGGGTGGGGTGTGCGGGGAGCAGAAAAATGTTTCTGATCGCCGGCCCGCACAGACCAGGCTAAAATTAGGCAGTAGATCCCCCCAGTGAGCTCGGACTCGCGCTAAGTCAGTGTTCTTTATTGTGTCACTTTAACTCAGTGTTCTTCATTGTGTCACTAAGTCAGTGTTCTTCATTGTGTCACTCTAACTCAGTGTTCTTCATTGTGTCACTAAGTCAGTGTTCTTCATTGTGTCACTCTAAGTCAGTGTTCTTCATTGTGTCACTAAGTCAGTGTTCTTCATTGTGTCACACTAAGTCAGTGTTCTTTATTGTGTCACTCTAAGTCAGTGTTCTTCATTGTGTCACTAATTCAGTGTTCTTCATTGTGTCACTAATTTAGTGTTCTTCATTGTGTCACTAAGTCAGTGTTCTTCATTGCATCCCTCTAAGTCAGTGTTCTTCATTGTGTCACTCTAAGTCAGTGTTCTTCATTGTGTCACTCTAAGTCAGTGTTCTTCATTGTGTCATTAAGTCAGTGTTCTTCATTGTGTCAGTAAGTCAGTGTTCTTCATTGTGTCACTCTAAGTCAGTGTTCTTCATTGTGCCACTCTAAGTCAGTGTTCTTCATTGTGTCACTAAGTTAGTGTTCTTCATTGTGTCACTCTAAGTCAGTGTTCTTCATTGTGTCACTAAGTCAGTGTTCTTCATTGTGTCACTCTAAGTCAGTGTTCTTCATAGTGTCACTCTAAATCAGGGTTCTTCATTGTGTCACTAAGTCAGTGTTCTTCATTGTGTCACTCTAAGTCAGTGTTCTTCATTGCGTCACTCTAAGTCAGTGTTCTTCATTGTGTCACTCTAAGTCAGTGTTCTTCATTGTGTCACTAAGTCAGTGTTCTTCATTGTGTCACTCTAAGTCAGTGTTCTTCATTGTGTCACTAAGTCAGTGTTCTTCATTGTGTCACACTAAGTCAGTGTTCTTTATTGTGTCACTCTAAGTCAGTGTTCTTCATTGTGTCACTAATTCAGTGTTCTTCATTGTGTCACTAATTTCGTGTTCTTCATTGTGTCACTAAGTCAGTGTTCTTCATTGCATCACTCTAAGTCAGTGTTCTTCATTGTGTCACTCTAAGTCAGTGTTCTTCATTGTGTCACTCTAAGTCAGTGTTCTTCATTGTGTCATTAAGTCAGTGTTCTTCATTGTGTCAGTAAGTCAGTGTTCTTCATTGTGTCACTCTAAGTCAGTGTTCTTCATTGTGCCACTCTAAGTCAGTGTTCTTCATTGTGTCACTAAGTTAGTGTTCTTCATTGTGTCACTCTAAGTCAGTGTTCTTCATTGTGTCACTAAGTCAGTGTTCTTCATTGTGTCACTCTAAGTCAGTGTTCTTCATAGTGTCACTCTAAATCAGGGTTCTTCATTGTGTCACTAAGTCAGTGTTCTTCATTGTGTCACTCTAAGTCAGTGTTCTTCATTGCGTCACTCTAAGTCAGTGTTCTTCATTGTGTCACTCTAAGTCAGTGTTCTTCATTGTGTCACTAAGTCAGTGTTCTTCATTGTGTCACTAAGTCAGTGTTCTTCATTGTGTCACTAAGTCAGTGTTCTTCATTGCGTCACTCTAAGTCAGTGTTCTTCATTGTGTCACTCTAAGTCAGTGTTCTTCATTGTGTCACTAAGTCAGTGTTCTTCATTGTGTCACTAAGTCAGTGTTCTTCATTGTGTCACTAAGTCAGTGTTCTTCATTGTGTCACTCTAAGTCAGTGTTCTTCATTGTGTCACTCTAAGTCAGCGTTCTTCATTGTGTCACTCTAAGTCAGTGTTCTTCATTGTGTCACTCTAAGTCAGTGTTCTTCATTGTGTCACTCTAAATCAGGGTTCTTCATTGTGTCACTAAGTCAGTGTTCTTCATTGTGTCACTCTAAGTCAGTGTTCTTCATTGTGTCACTCTAAGTCAGTGTTCTTCATTGTGTCACTCTAAGTCAGTGTTCTTCATTGTGTCACTAAGTCAGTGTTCTTCATTGTGTCACTAAGTCAGTGTTCTTCATTGTGTCACTAAGTCAGTGTTCTTCATTGTGTCACTCTAAGTCAGTGTTCTTCATTGTGTCACTTTAAGTCAGTGTTCTTTATTGTGTCACTAAATCAGTGTTCTTCATTGTGCCACTAAGTCAGTGTTCTTCATTGTGTCACTCTAAGTCAGTGTTCTTCATTGTGGCACTCTAAGTCAGTGTTCTTCATTGTGTCACTAAGTCAGTGTTCTTCATTGTGTCACACTAAGTCAGTGCTCTTTATTGTGTCACTCTAAGTCAGTGTTCTTCATTGTGTCACTAATTCAGTGTTCTTCATTGTGTCACTAATTTAGTGTTCTTCATTGTGTCACTAAGTCAGTGTTCTTCATTGCGTCACTCTAAGTCAGTGTTCTTCATTGTGTCACTCTAAGTCAGTGTTCTTCATTGTGTCACTCTAAGTCAGTGTTCTTCATTGTGTCATTAAGTCAGTGTTCTTCATTGTGTCAGTAAGTCAGTGTTCTTCATTGTGTTACTCTAAGTCAGTGTTCTTCATTGTGCCACTCTAAGTCAGTGTTCTTCATTGTGTCACTAAGTTAGTGTTCTTCATTGTGTCACTCTAAGTCAGTGTTCTTCATTGTGTCACTCTAAATCAGGGTTCTTCATTGTGTCACTAAGTCAGTGTTCTTCATTGCGTCACTCTAAGTCAGTGTTCTTCATTGTGTCACTCTAAGTCAGTGTTCTTCATTGTGTCACTAAGTCAGTGTTCTTCATTGTGTCACTAAGTCAGTGTTCTTCATTGTGTCACTAAGTCAGTGTTCTTCATTGTGTCACTCTAAGTCAGTGTTCTTCATTGTGTCACTCTAAGTCAGCGTTCTTCATTGTGTCACTCTAAGTCAGTGTTCTTCATTGTGTCACTCTAAGTCAGTGTTCTTCATTGTGCCACTCTAAGTCAGTGTTCTTCATTGTGTCACTAAGTCAGTGTTCTTCATTGTGTCACTCTAAGTCAGTGTTCTTCATTGTGTCACTAAGTCAGTGTTCTTCATTGTGTCACTCTAAGTCAGTGTTCTTCATTGTGCCACTCTAAATCAGGGTTCTTCATTGTGTCACTAAGTCAGTGTTCTTCATTGTGTCACTAAGTCAGTGTTCTTCATTGTGTCACTCTAAGTCGGTGTTCTTCATTGTGTCACTAAGTCAGTGTTCTTCATTGTGGCACTCTAAGTCAGTGTTCTTCATTGTGTCACTAAGTCAGTGTTCTTCATTGCGTCACTCTAAGTCAGTGTTCTTCATTGTGTCACTCTAAGTCAGTGTTCTTCATTGTGTCACTCTAAGTCAGTGTTCTTCATTGTGTCATTAAGTCAGTGTTCTTCATTGTGTCAGTAAGTCAGTGTTCTTCATTGTGTCACTCTAAGTCAGTGTTCTTCATTGTGCCACTCTAAGTCAGTGTTCTTCATTGTGTCACTAAGTTAGTGTTCTTTATTGTGTCACTCTAAGTCAGTGTTCTTCATTGTGTCACTAAGTCAGTGTTCTTCATTGTGTCACTCTAAGTCAGTGTTCTTCATTGTGTCACTCTAAATCAGGGTTCTTCATTGTGTCACTAAGTCAGTGTTCTTCATTGCGTCACTCTAAGTCAGTGTTCTTCATTGTGTCACTCTAAGTCAGTGTTCTTCATTGTGTCACTAAGTCAGTGTTCTTCATTGTGTCACTAAGTCAGTGTTCTTCATTGTGTCACTAAGTCAGTGTTCTTCATTGTGTCACTCTAAGTCAGTGTTCTTCATTGTGTCACTCTAAGTCAGCGTTCTTCATTGTGTCACTCTAAGTCAGTGTTCTTCATTGTGTCACTCTAAGTCAGTGTTCTTCATTGTGTCACTCTAAGTCAGTGTTCTTCATTGTGTCACTAAGTCAGTGTTCTTCATTGTGTCACTCTAAGTCAGTGTTCTTCATTGTGTCACTAAGTCAGTGTTCTTCATTGTGTCACTCTAAGTCAGTGTTCTTCATTGTGTCACTCTAAATCAGGGTTCTTCATTGTGTCAATAAGTCAGTGTTCTTCATTGTGTCACTCTAAGTCAGTGTTCTTCATTGTGTCACTCTAAGTCAGTGTTCTTCATTGTGTCACTCTAAGTCAGTGTTCTTCATTGTGTCACTAAGTCAGTGTTCTTCATTGTGTCACTCTAAGTCAGTGTTCTTCATTGTGTCATTAAGTCAGTGTTCTTCATTGTGTCAGTAAGTCAGTGTTCTTCATTGTGTCACTCTAAGTCAGTGTTCTTCATTGTGCCACTCTAAGTCAGTGTTCTTCATTGTGTCACTAAGTTAGTGTTCTTCATTGTGTCACTCTAAGTCAGTGTTCTTCATTGTGTCACTAAGTCAGTGTTCTTCATTGTGTCACTCTAAGTCAGTGTTCTTCATTGTGTCACTCTAAATCAGGGTTCTTCATTGTGTCACTAAGTCAGTGTTCTTCATTGCGTCACTCTAAGTCAGTGTTCTTCATTGTGTCACTCTAAGTCAGTGTTCTTCATTGTGTCACTAAGTCAGTGTTCTTCATTGTGTCACTAAGTCAGTGTTCTTCATTGTGTCACTAAGTCAGTGTTCTTCATTGTGTCACTCTAAGTCAGTGTTCTTCATTGTGTCACTCTAAGTCAGCGTTCTTCATTGTGTCACTCTAAGTCAGTGTTCTTCATTGTGTCACTCTAAGTCAGTGTTCTTCATTGTGCCACTCTAAGTCAGTGTTCTTCATTGTGTCACTAAGTCAGTGTTCTTCATTGTGTCACTCTAAGTCAGTGTTCTTCATTGTGTCACTAAGTCAGTGTTCTTCATTGTGTCACTCTAAGTCAGTGTTCTTCATTGTGTCACTCTAAATCAGGGTTCTTCATTGTGTCACTAAGTCAGTGTTCTT